TACCATCAAGTCACATAACCACATAGCTACATAATCCATTAAAATGCACATGAGATAAAAATTAAATTCCAATTATATCATTTTGAAAAGTAGGGGTATTACATTGAATCCTTAATTGATTCTTGAAGATTGAATCACGTGCACAATTATGAAATTTTATTAAGTAGTGATTGTAGTGAATATATAGTCAAAATATATTAATGGACACTTAACTTATATATATATATATATATATATATATATATATATATATATATATATATATATATATATAATTGGGGTTGGAGTGGGGTCGTGGCGGGGATGGGATGGGGGCATCACTAAATTCGCCCCCGCCCCCTGTCCAAAATTCGTTTCGGGTTTTCAATTTTTTTACCATATCCGTCCCAAACCCATTTATGGAGCTACCAAATCCGCCCCGTTAGGAGTGAAGCGGGGCGGAAACCCAGCGGGTTGGAAGAAATTGCCATCCTTATATTTTAGAAAACTCAATTTGAAATTGATTCCATTTTAAATTTTAAATTGGTCCAACCAAACACTAGAAGGGTTATTATCATTATATTCCTACACATTTCATATTTTCATCCAAACAATAGAATGAGAATGGCCATTCCATTAAAATTTACCACTATTAAATATATAAATTTCCAGCTATTAATCTATCAATTATTTGATTAAGAAAAATAATCCGAAAATAGCTGGTTTGCTTTCACAAGATTTGATCATTAATACTCATCTAAAAATATTTGTGAAGTGGATTTTTCTTCACTTAAAAAATGTAAAATTATAAAAAAATCATATTTTCAACTTAAAAAAAAAAAACATAAAGATTAAAGAGTTTTTAGTTATGAAAATTATGAACCCAATTTTAAGATTATTATTTCTTATTCCCACGGTCCCACCTACCACTAATACTTGATATATGAAAGAAACTTAAACTAATTAATAATATAAGCCAAAGTCGGAAACATTCAAACCACACATGAAAATTAATAAAAAAGAATAGGTGACATTTATTTCATCAATGAAAGTTTCCTAGAGTTTATGCTATAAATATTAAAGAAAACTAAAACAAATAAATAATGCAACATGATTAAAGAAAATTAAAGAAAACATAATCTGCACAATGCCTCATTTTAAGTCCAACTCTCAACTTTCCTTCTACACACTTATTTCTACGATGGCGGCCCAAAAGAGATTATTATTTTTTTCTTTAAGAAAAAAAGAAAAGAAAAGAAAAGAAAAAGATTAAAAAGGCCCAACCCCAAATGTTGTTGTCTGGTAGGAAAAAGAAAAGTGAAAAAAAAAAAAAAAACAGAATTGCGCCGGGATTGAGGTTGGTTGTTGCTTTTAGTTGTTTGTTGTGTTAAGGTGAAGGAGGAAGGAATATTAACTTTGACTACTTTAGTTGGGTAGGGAAAAGGCGAAATATATTAGGCCAAGAGGCAATGAGTGACCGATACATAATAAACTCATTGCTTCGCCTTTTTGGCGAGAGGTTTTAATTTTGTTACATGAGAGAATGCATCATTATTTTCGGTCCCCCTCTATTATTCACGCATGCTACATCCTAGTGTATGTGGCTAATTTGCTATTGTTTCCTCATCTATCATATATGTCACTCTCTCACTCATCATGTACATTAATATATAAGGATGACAATTTGCACCGTTGAAACGAGTATCCGCCTCATTCAGTTCCGTTTAAAATGGTTTTGAAGGATCATTTAACTTATTTGGATACGAATGATTTTTATTAAAGAAAATCCGCACGGGTTCGGGGCGGAGGTAGGAGGAGGTCACCCCGCCCCACCCGGTTTAGGTAAATAATTTATTAAATTACTTTTATTTTATTAGTCTATATAGTTAGCTCTAGAAATTTTAAGTCATATTCTTTTACTTTCTCAGCCGTTCTAGAGAGCGGCAGAACCCTATGAACTAAGAATGCTCATACACTTGAATTTTATGTTAAATTATTGATTATCCATTTTTTAATGAATTTTTTCAATAATTATATAATTGTATTTGAGGAATTTTTTTTAAAAAAGGATGAGACATTATGGAATTAAACGGGTCGGGGCGGGTACCCGCAGGGGTGAAAAAGTTAAACGGGGTGGAGATGGGGGTGGAAAGGCCCCTATTTAATTAGTTTTGGGTGAGGGTTTCTAAACGGTTGCGGGGAAGGGTACACCCACCCAAAAGTATACAGTTGCCATTTGAAATGGGTGGGCGCTTGTCCATTTATCCAAAAGCTCAAACTGTTGGGTAGTGCTGCATACTCACTCACTCATTTATACTCAATCACTTTTCTATCCGGATTCGATGTGAGACAAATGACCCCTTGTAACATTCTCACTCATTTATACTCAATCACTTTTCTATCCGGATTCGATGTGAGACAAATGACCTTTGTAACATTCTCCCCCACTCAAACCGCAACGCCTTTATTGCGGTTCGGGTCACCCTGACTGCTCGGACTCCTTCCAGGCCGAGCACTTGGCGTGACACCGAATCAAGGACTGAATCTGGCTCTGATACCAACTGAAACGGGTGGGCACTTACCCATTTATCCAAAAACATAAGTTGTTGGGTAGTGCTACATATGCACCCATTTATACCCAATCACTTTCCTATCTGGATCCGATGTGGGACAAATGATGTCTTGTAACACCATCCCTACTAATATGAGAAAATTGTATAGGGGACAACAGTGTAATTTTATAATAATTCCAGTGAGGGCGATGGTGTAATTTTGTAAATGTATATATCAAAAATGTAAATTTAAAGGGTGTATTAGTAAAAAAAATAAAAAATTCAGTGGGGCTATTGCCCCACTGCCCTCTGAATGGCTCCTCCCAGCTAATATGACATCTTCCTACTTCTAAAACAGTTGAGGACATTGTGTTTGAATATATGCAAGTCTATCTTTATCATTTTCATCTAAATCTTTGGTACGAGTCTTGTTTTTTATGTTTTTGTTTTGTCAGAGTACTAATATTTCGTTTTGCAGTGTGGAAATGTTTGGTGAATATTGGCCATAATCAAATATCAGTTTAGTATTTGTACATGTTTCAAGCACGGTAACAACGAGTAAAGGGGGGATGAAAAAATTAAAAATTTGAAAAACTCTTAAATGATTTTACCAAACACGTTTTAATGTTTTTGCTTCAAAAAATATTACAACAAAACATACTTTCGAGCAGGCCCAATGCAAATGGGGCGGACAAATTTCAGGCATCTATTCTTTTAACTGCTTTGGGCTTCACACAGGCTTGGCCCAAATTAGAACGCTTTAAGATAGTTGGAGTCCAATTGCATATTTTTCTAGATTTGAATTGGACTTTGTAGCAATAGTATTAATAAAAGTAGTACTGTACTACTAATAATATATTAGGTGGGCTATGGTTGCTTTGTCAACTCGTACCTAATACCTTTAATACCATGTCAACTCAATATCAACCCTATGAAAATGGATTTGAATATTTGAATCTCCGAGAAAGAGAAATACCAGGAAAAGTTGCAACTACCACAGTTGCAATCAAGTGAAGAGCAACCACTCCTGCAAAATATAGTTTGAGGCATTAGACGAAAATATAAAGTGACATTTTAATACAATCTGTCCATATTATTAGTAATATGTTGATTAGTTATTTTATGATTTTTAAATTTAGTATGCTTATAGTAGACATATTCAATAATATAAATAAATAATGATAACTTACCAATAAAATATATAATTTTATGATATTAAAAAAATAATTGAAGTTATAGAATAATAGAAACGAATTTTGAAAAATGTTGGGACTGTAAATTATACCAAGTTCTGAGCGCTGAAGAGAGAGAAAAGAGGTTATAATGTGAGAGGAGGAAAAATATGTGAGAAATAAAAAATATAAAAGTTAATAGGATTATAGAAATATATATGTATATATATATATATATATATATATATATATATATATATATGCGTGTGTGTCTTCGTTAAGGATAAGACAGGTAGAAAAAGGAAAAAGGAAAAAAGAAAAAAGGAAAAAGAAAGTTGATGTAAGGAAAGAAATATTTTGGGTTCATTGCTAAAGAAAATAAAATTTTAAGTAGGTAATAATATATAAAGAAAAAAAAATTGGGACTTAAAAATGAAGGGGGAGAAAGGATAGAAATCTTTTAGGCCACTCTATGTTGAGACTTAATAATTGAAGGAAATAATTTTTTTGAGAAAGTAATAATATATAAAGAAATAAAAAATTTTGAAGCCTTCTTATTGGATGAGGCCTAAGTAACCACATAACTGGCCTCGTATCTCCAACAGCTATATATATATATATATATTGTTTTTTTTAGCTCTAACAGTTGGTTATACCTTTTGGGTTAAAATATATCCCCCTATAATAATCTATCAGTGTTAATTTTTACAAACCTACCTTAATGAGGAGGAGTATGAAGATATTTACAAACCTACTTAATATAAAGGTTCATTCGTAAATGAAATGAGAAAGATAAAAGAAAAATGAAATATGTTGATATGACAATATAAAAAAATTGTATAAAATATATAATAATTTTATATATTGATAACGTAGCAGTCTATCTTAACCGACGACTCTAAAAATTGTTGAAAACCATTCACCCACTTTCAAAAGAGAAAAAAATATTGTAACTTACAAGCTGTCAAATAAACGACAAATAAAATTCTTAACTCGTGTTATGAATTAGTGGTCCGAGCGAATGAGCCGTGTTCGAGTTTCAAATTTTTTAATTTGTCAAAATTAAAAAAAAAAAAAAAAAACACATAATTTTTCCCCTGTAAATCATGATTTTGGGCCATGACAAGTGGAAATGATCTGTCACTGACTCACTCGGCAAAATCATAATTAAAGTAGATGCCAAAAAATTAGGGACTCCGATGTAATTTCATCAAAAATCAATGTCACAAGTGAAACGTAGACTTCGGTGCAGGGTCTCTCCTCGGCTTTTCCCTATAAATTCAGCGTATCCGTGGTCCGTATGCGGCATATAATTGTCTCAGTGATTGGTCTCTCTCTCTAAATCAATCTCTCTCTAAAAGTGTAAGCAGAGCAGGAACAAAAGAAGCGCCTCAGTAAGCTTTGTCTTCGAAGGTCTCTCAAAACCACTCCAAAGGTATATTATATTAATAAATCTAGATTTGATAAAATCTTGCTACATTCACTTCAATTATTAAGTTTTATTAATCTGTTTGAAACTATGCATTTAAGCTATAACTAAAAATATCATGTTCAATTTTAGGATCTTTTGCCTTGAAGAACGAGTTGCTACTGATCAACTCACTCCAATATATTTGTGACTTAATAAACTAAAATTGTTCAGAATTTTAGTTTGATTCATACTATTTGTGAAAAAAAAAAGATTGGGTAATATCGAATTTAGTTAGCTATAATTTGTTATTATTGTAGTGATGTAAAGGACATTGGATTTGTTCAATTACTCGTTGGATATAGTACAACGAGTGCAAATGCCCAACTGATGAAATCAATATCTTTGGTTTTATCTGCTGGTGCAACCCTTTGGAGTGGGTTTGAGGTCCGGTATCTTACTTTGCACTTTTCGAAACAGATTTGTCAAATATCTGTCATGATTCTATCTATGAAGCATTGACAAAAACCCAAACAGGTTTGCAAGGACCAAATCTGTTTCGACTTAAGCAATTAGTTTGAGAGCCAGGGGTTGTTTCAGTTTCAATTGCCACTGTGGGTAACTCACTTCTATTGATTTGGGAATTTAGTAGTACAAAGTCAAATTTTATGTGCAAATGGTTGCGACATCTTATAATATAATGTCTTGGATTTCTTATTAAAAATTCATTCCTTTTTGTCATCACTCACCTTATTATTTAAATGTCCAGAGGCATTGGGAGCTCAGGGCATGGGTTCTAAATCAGTTGTGGATTTAATAGAGGCTTCATCAGGGGTTCATTTTTCAGGATTTCACTTGGATAAAATGGAGGCGAAAAATTCAGAGGTGCTGCAACCAAAAACTTCAGCAGTTGAACATGCACATAATCAACCTTTTGTCATTGGTAAGTGTTGGCACATGAGATTTTATGTCATGTTCTCATATAGTCTCATGGATTGCATGTAGATTTGTTAAAGTATCCTTTAAGGAGGCACCCGAAGATCAAAATAAAATTTTGATTTGAATTGCTGACTTACCATTGTGTGGTTGGGTGGAGGGTTGTTTATTCTGAGTCAGAAGTTCGCCAGAATCTATTAGAATGTTTGGCAAATTTTAAACCATACCTAAAAGCTAAAACTAATTGAAAATATTTGCACATGAAAAGTATCCAATACCAACTCGCACTCACACTGCCAGAACTCGAGTGCACGTGAATTAGGGTATAATGCTTTTCCTTGATTGCTATTAAAATCCTTGGTAGCTTGACCAGGTGGGGAAAAATTAGGAGTAACATTAATGTGGCGATTGGGTTGAATCATTACAGGAGTGTGGCTCTCTGTGTCTCTCATGGTAAGGTGTCTGGACGTACCATAACCAACTGTAAGGTGACTTCGATCAATCTTAGGTCAGTTGGAATAAGCATATGTCTTAGTGTGAGGTGTCTGGACATACCATAACCAACTGTTTGATCAATCATAGGTCAGTTGGAATAAGCATATGTCTTCATCTAGTCTAATATTAGGCATGAGATAAAAATTCCAACAGTCCAAGTAGACTATGGTATTTTTACCACAATTATAAACCTGAATATCTGATATTTTCTTCTAATAGTTGATTATGTTATTAATATGTTCTTTTTTGCATTATGAGAAAATGGAAATTTTTGCTTGATTTGTAACTCTAAGAACGAAAACTGTAGAAAATTCAGTTATAAAATTGTTTGTATTCTGTTACAAACCAAGCAAACCCATGTATCTTGTTTTTGCTTTTTCTGCTTAATGCATGTTTCTATTGAACATCTGTGGTGCAGGAGTTGCTGGAGGTGCAACATCAGGAAAGACTACAGTTTGTGATATGATTATTGAGCAGCTTCATGATCAGCGTGTTGTACTTGTTAACCAGGTATCATCATCATTTCCTTTTTCTTCTTCTAAGTTTTCTGAAGCTGTTTGGCTATTTGTGTAATCTACAAATAAAATTTCCTCATATTGTTTTACGGCTTTTCAGTTATAGGTATTCCCCACCTTTTGTTCAGTCCTCTTACAAGCTTCCTCTCTTTTTCTTTTCTTCTTTTTGTTTTTTGTTTTACTGCCCTGGAGGTAACAACATTTATCGTCTAAACAATAATCTGTGCAGTTGGCCCTATAGACTTGCCCCATGCATTGCCATCCTTCCATCCTCTGCATAGATAGTATTGCTTATGGCTGAATATGATTTTCAGAATAATGATATGCTTGTCTTTAACTGCTCAATTCAACTTTTGCAGTACATAAACACCACCTGATTTGGTTGAATCATATTGGTGTTTTTCTTTAGTTTGCTATGCTCTCACGGAATGGTTCTGTCTGTGTGTGTGAGCAGTTTATTGAATAAAATTTTGAGCCTACCTGTTCATACTTTTCCTGCCAAAATTTTAGAACAAATATGTAATGTCCTTGATTTCTTGACGAGGTGATTTGATTTTCCTTGCAAATGTTATGGATAATATGGCAGGATTCCTTTTATCACAGTTTGTCTCCAAAGGAACTTACAAGAGTTAATGAATACAATTTTGACCATCCTGGTGAGTTCTGAATCTTGAATTTGGTTATCAAATGCAGAAAATTTTCCTCTGGTGGTTTTCATCTGCTGAACTCAAGTTTTTAAATTGATTTTCCAATATCTTCTTAATCCTGAAGGAAATTTATGCTTTTTGTTGTTCATGAGGAATGCGGACATATGCCTTCTGTTAGTAAATACTATATTTTTACTCATTTGCTGGATGCTGCATTATGTCACATTCCTTTGTTTGGTGTTCTGGATGTAGCATCTTTGAGTAATCCTTGAATAATTATTTAGTAGTTCTGCACTTCTTGGATTAGTTACTTCTTTCCAAATTTACACTTATAATTGGAAGTGGGAAGCTTTTCCTACCAATTTTTTCCATGCAAGAGCTGTGTCTCTTTCCTTACACTTATTATTGTTTCATGCTAGGCATTACTAAAATTTACAATGATACGAACTTCTTTCCCTTTTACATCTTGAAATTTTGGGATCATATATTATTCTGCAGAAAATAATTTATATGTTACTCTTTATTGTGCTTCATAATATTCATTTTCTGAACCAACGGCAAGTTATTTTGTTTCTGAATGTGTTACGAATCTTGTAACAAGTTAATTATTAAAAAATAATGTAGTAGTTGATTATATTATACTGGTAATGGTGTAGCTCAAATGTAATATCAACAACTGCATACTGGAGGTTCGTTGTCAAGCTGGTTAATTTGCTTCTTTTAATATGTAAATTTTTCATTTGATCAGATGCATTTGACACTGAGCAATTATTATGTGCCATGGCGAAGTTGAAGTGTGGACAATCAATAGATATTCCAAAGCATGATTTCAAGAGTTACAAAAACAACGTATTTCCAGCTCGAAGGGTAAAATTCTTTTAACATTCAATAAATCTCGTTGCAGGGGAGAGGGAGATTATTCATGGATTGCTTCTCTGTTCTTGTTGCTAGTTATATGTCATTCATTTGCTTTAAGAGGTCCTCTTTATATATTCTCTCCATAGTAAATTTAGAATTATATTCCTAAAATCTTCACTGAACTCTCTATATTTTCCTTTTGGTGGCCACACAAACCCCCCCCCCCCCCCCCCCCTCTCAAATGATTATTATTGAATTAGATTGTTGCCATATCGCCATATCAATTTTGTATGGATGTGTTTTAGCATTCTTCTTTGATTTATTTCTTTATGCTGTTTTATGTTTATGCTATGGTACATACTCCCATTCTATGGAGCCTAAGTTACATTATTTCACAGCATTACCATACATCTCTGTGACTCTGCTATTGAAGTTCAACTGAATGATTCTCATGTACTTTGTTTTTCACTTTGTACCATTTGCATCATTAACCCTTGTTATTTTGAAATTTCGGCAGGTAAATCCTTCAGATGTGATAATTTTAGAAGGCATACTCATTTTCCATGATCCTCGTGTACGAGATCTGATGAATATGAAGATCTTTGTTGATACAGGTTATTTTCTTCCCTTTTTTCTATGATTAAGTGTCTTATATTTTGTATTTAATTAACCTATCATATTTACTTAGTGGGTCTATGTCACTTGGGCTTTAAATGTGTATTTTGATCTATATTTTGAGGTGCTACTTTTGTTGAATGAAAATTATCTATGGAATTCAAACCCAAACATTCCTTAATATTAGATAAACTAGCAATTTGATAAGTAATTTTAAACTTGTGATGTTGTGGCCCAAAGCCCCGAGGAAATTTTTTTGCCCTGTTTTTTGCTTGCAAATTGTGGACCCTATTTAATACTCTCTTGTAGCCCGGTATATAAAGGCGCTTAGTGTTTGGAGTGGGATTAGAGAGAGAATTGCAGAGAAAGAGAGTGCGAGTGAGAGCTAGGGTCTGGGGGCTGAAACTTGTAATCTCCTGTTTTTCGCATAGTGAAAACTTTCGCTGAATTTTCACCGTGGATGTAGACACAACTTGTGTCGAACTACGCTAACTCTTTGTGTTCTTTGTGTTTGGTGTGTTTACTTTTCCATCTTGATTCGTGATTTGTTCTTGGTTTGGTGCGTTTGTCATAACAAAACTCTTTTATTGAAAAAAAGTCAACTTAAGAGTAGAATGAAGATGCAACAAATTTGATATAGCTTCCCTAAATTTGAATATGGAAGTTATACTTGGTCATAATTTTATATTATGCATTGTAGAACTGACATTCTTTTATGGACCAATTCTAGATTTCAACATCTTGTAAAAAATCCTTAACTACACACAACTACTTGAAAAGAGTTTTAAATTTAAAGCATGTTAAATGAGTTGATAAAATAAACTTCTATAACGTGAAAGAAAACTTTTTCATGTGTTGATATAGTTGTGAAAAGATTAGTTCTGGTCAATGTGAAGTTGCTGTCCTTTAGGCTAAGATATTACCTCATGTGAGCCATGTGTTGCATCTCTAGAAATGAGCCCCTAAGCATCTGAGTCTACACCTAGAGCTGAGCTTTAAGGCATAATTAGGTCTCATCTGTCCTCATAGTTCATTTCATTTTAAGCTTTTTCTTTTTCTCACTATTTCTATTTGCAATTCTGCTTGTAGACGATGTAACTGGGTCATATTAATCAGAGTTAGATCTATGATCATATTAAATTTGTGAATTTACTAGAACTTCCTATTTGTGCTTTTCTCTAAGCTACTCGAGATTCGAGAATGAGCCATAGGAGTTTGCTTTCTTTGATCAGCCATCTCTGCATGCCCAATTTTTTGCAGCATGTGGTGTCAATTTTTTCTACTATTTTGCTGCCTTAGTTCACTAATAAATTTACTATTTTTCTTGCCATTTTCCCTGAAAGTAACTGTTTTTTTACGAATTTTGGATTGGTTGACATTTTATAGATCACTTTATAATGTTACTAGGTTGGACTGTTACTGTTACAGTTTTCACATTTCAAAATTTCAGTGCAGATCCTGATGTACGCCTGGCAAGGAGAATAAGGCGTGATACAGTTGAGAGGGATAGAGATATTGGTATGGTACTTGATCAGGTTAGCAAGTTCACATTTCTTCCTTCTGAATGTATGGTCTAATGATTGCACAATAATGCATAGATGTGAAGTGTGATAAGAATAGGGCTGGCCTTGAGTTCAAGGTTGTGAGCTTACATGTCTATCATTATGCTGTATATGTTTATCTAACAAAAACTCTAAGTGTGAATTAGTAAGATGTTGTTTGTCTTTGTAAACCAGAGTCTATCCGTCCCATTGCATCTCCACATCGGTTATAGGCTTCTTACTAGACTATATTCTAGTTATTAGGTATACAGGTATGCCGGTTGAACTTCAAGAATTTGTTAGCTTCATAGGGAGTCCTAACTGTCCCGCTGCACCATAACTTATAAATTAGGAAGATGAAAATGGAATTTCAATCCTATACACCTGTGAATTTAATTTTTTCATTTGGAACTCAACCTATATAAGGTGGTGCAATGGCTATTTTGCTATAATTACTACATTCATATCTGCAGTTCAGTAGCAAATATTGCATTCAGGCTTCTGTTTTAGTGTTTCCACTGTTGCTGGTGTTCCCTTTACTTTGTTTAATGTTGAAATTTAACATTAATGTAGTAACTTTTTACTGATTTTTTCTTCATTAATGAAAAAATTCCATATTGATGCAGTACTCAAAATTTGTGAAACCTGCTTTTGATGACTTTATACTCCCAACAAAGAAGTATGCGGACATTATCATTCCCCGTGGAGGAGATAATCATGTAGCCATCGATTTAATTGTCCAACATATTCGTACAAAACTTGGTCAACATGATCTTTGTAAAATATACCCTAATCTTTATGTCATTCACTCAACTTTTCAGGTACTGCATTTTAACCTACTTCTACTTCTATTCATTTTCTAGTCTATTCATTTTTTTCTGGCAGTGTTAGATTTATTATTCATGTAGTTATTTAAATTTTTTTTTTGGATTTGAAGTTTAATTTGTCATGAACTTCTAGGTTAGGTTCATTTTTTATCTAATTATTTGTTCCTTTTGTTTTCTTTTTGATAAAATGGTCAACTTATTTAATTGCTTCCAATGATCATTATTTATTTCATCCAGATTCGTGGTATGCATACGCTTATACGTGATTCTCAAATATCCAAACATGACTTCATTTTTTACTCTGATCGATTGATTCGTTTGGTGGGTATCTCTTGTTGTGAGATTGTTTCATGTTATACCTTCTGATTTTTAGCACGATGGGAGAAATCATTTCTTTTAACACATATCACTTTTGCTCCATTATTCCAGGTTGTTGAACATGGCCTGGGACATCTTCCATTTACAGAAAAGCAGGTGATTACTCCTACTGGTAAGCTGCGATAACTTAGTGATCTTATATTGGGCTTTTTTAATATTCTCTTTTGGCCATCTCTATCGGTTTTATATGTTTTTCATGGTGTGCATTTTGTTAGATTGAAATTATATGTTTTTATGTCCTAAAAAATAAAATTAAACTCTTATCAATTATATATCTTGGACATACCTCAATACCTTTGCATTTCTTATAGAAAGTAATTTCATAAATAAACTCAGTTATATATTGGTTTTATATTTTGTCAAAAGAATTTTGTTATAGCCATTCAAATCCGGAAGTCTAGGTCCCACGGTAGTGAGGATATTAAGTTGTCTAAACCATATGTCCTTCTATATCGTATTAACTATCAAAATATGGTCGAAAGAAAAAATCTCTATGCTGTAAATTCTGGGCAGTGTGTCTTCGGTATGGTGGTACTCTCTCCTATTTCCTAGCTGGAGGGGGTTGGGGTTTTTAAGCACAGGTCCGCGCTTAAGCGTTCATTCGATTTCTTTGCGTGGTTTTCCGATGTGCGTTAAGTGTTGTTTGCTTGTGTACCCCGTTGTTTCTTTTTCTCCCTTGCCTAAAGAGTGGGGGCACAGCTACAGCCTACATTTCACCCCATAGTCTAACTCGCTGGGAAAATGAGGAATCAGAAATACCTAGTGAAAAGTATATGTCAAAAAAGAAAATTATTTAGTAACTGTTCACTATAAAAGAAAAAATCAATGGGAACTCAATCTGCTTTTTTAAACTTTTTTAGATACTTGTATTGGAGTAGCTTATCACAATAGAAGTCTGTAATTGTTAATAGTGCAAAACCTTCAGCACAAATTGTACACCGACCATTTAAATTGAAGCTTGTTGTGAGTCTTGTGACTTGTTACATAAATGTTTGAAGTTCAATCTTGATGTTATTATTGGGATGTATAATTTTTCAAGATTTTTGACATATGGTGGTGCTCTTTCAAGAATAAACTCAGCTTGCATTTCACCAACTTTTTATTATTTATTTCAAGTTGTTATCCATGTGACCTTGCAACTATATCATTGGTGCTTTTTTATTTATTTATTTTATTTATTATTTTATTTTATTTATCACATTTTCCTGCTTGTGTGACTGCAGGGTCTGTATACACCGGTGTGGATTTCTGTAAGAGGTTGTGCGGAGTCTCCATAATTAGAAGGTCATTATATGATCTGGCCTCAAAGTTTTAATTGCTGAACTAGATTATGATTTTCAGCTTTTTTTATTTTGACTTCTCTTATAAAATATATGGCAACAATATTTAAGTTAGATGGCAGTAAAATTTCTTCAGAGCACCGGTATCTGTTTTGGCTGCGTGCCAAATTCAGATACTTCTTAATTCTTCAAATCTCATGTATATGTGTCAGTGGTGTAGGTTACTGAGTTAAAACATGTTTTGGTAAACCCAAGGGGTTGGCCTAGTTGGGAAAGACTTGGGCCCTGGTGCTGAGTTAAAACATGTTTTGGTAAACCCAAGGGGCTGGCCTAGTTGGAAAAGACTTGGGCCCTGATGCCATGAAGCATCAGTTCTCAGGATCGAAACCTGCTAGGTGCAAACAAATTCCTTGAGACGATTTTCAACTTTTTTAGTTGAAAGCCTTTGAGGCAATTGAAATGAGGCCTCCTGTTGGCTTACTAGTATTGTATGCATGGTAGGTTTATTTCTTTAAATATGTATTCCTCCATCATATGTTCATGAAATTAAATCATTTGGATAAGTGATCGTCTCTTCTTTAAGGATTCAAGCATACCATATAATATATATATATACATATGCGTGTGAGTGGATGTGTTTTTCATATTTTTAAGGGGTAACAGAATATACTCTTCTCAGCCAAAATTAGTTCATGATGTTCATACACAAATGAAATTGAAAAACCACCAAGATTTTATCCCTAGTGGCATCTCCTCTACTTCTTAAGTGGAGTGTTCAAATTCCCACTAACTCCCCCCCACCCCCCCCCCCCCCAAAAAAAAAAAAAAAGATAAGAAATTACTTGTTTGCACAATGCCTGAAATTTCTTTTTCAAACAATGTAGCTGCCAATATTTACTGATATTGGTGTTATTTATGGTGATATGTGAAGGTACGGTCTTATGCTGGAGGCTTTGTCCTAGATATTTCTTTTTTACTTTATTGTGCATCATGGTGTAGGATGGTAGGTCTCAATGTGGACAGATCTTTAAAATATAAGCATGTGTCGAGTTGATTAGATTAGGCCCCCTGCCATGGTAAAAAGTCTGGTGATAGTAATATGTTGCATATATCTAATATTGTTACAGCATGGGAAAGATATGCTGCTCCTGATTTACTTAGCGGCTAGGTACCTATTCTTGTTTTTTTTTTTTTTTTTCGTGTTCCTCTTATCTCTTTTCACAAATTGATGATAAATAATTAGTTACGCATTCAAGAGGTTTAATTAATAGAAAAATGCTCAACTGTTTACAGCGGTGAGAGCATGGAGAATGCTTTACGGGCATGTTGTAAAGGCATTAAGATTGGGAAGATACTCATTCACAGGGAAGGTGACAATGGTCAACAGGTTTGTCAATCTTTGTCTCTGGTGTGTGTGCTGATTTTGATTTATGTTTTTTCATAATTCTGATTGGTTATCTAAATGACCAATTTACTTTGCAGTTAATTTATGAGAAACTGCCAATGGACATCTCAGATAGGCATGTGTTATTGTTGGATCCCATCTTAGGCACAGGTTTTGTGGACAATTTCTATCATGATCTTTTTGGTTTGATATATTTGCATATGTTTGCTGCATTTACACACACATGCACTCAGTCATGAGTGTTTCGTGATAAGTTGGGGGACATTCATCATTGATGTATTCTCAAATTATGAGTCTGGCCAACTCCTCAGTAACATAGATACATCTGTGCGTGTGTGAGAAAAGAGAGTGATCGCTTACCCTATTTCTATCTCCAAATTGAAAAAGATATGTTTTGATGCAACCATATTCCGTCAGCCAGTCAGCTCACATATTTTTTGGCAACAATTAGTTTTTCTTTTTGAACCAGACTTGGGTGAGTATGTTCTAATTGTTTAATAATTTCTTCAGGGAATTCAGCTGTTGAAGCTATTTCTTTACTAATAAAGAAGGGCGTACCAGAGTCCAACATCATATTCCTCAATCTCATATCTGTAAGCAAATTGCCCCTTAAGAACTGCTAACTCGTCCGTGTTTTCTTTTCATTTTAGCTTATCTTTTCTTATGCTATAGTCTAGAACTAGCACAAATAATGTGTTTCAATTAATGTGTCGCTATTTAATCTCACCAGGCACCACAAGGAGTGCATGTGGTTTGCAAACGCTTCCCAAGAATAAAGATCGTGACCTCTGAGATTGAAACTGGTTTAAATGAAGATTTTCGTGTCATCCCTGGAATGGGAGAATTTGGAGACCGATATTTTGGTACAGATGACGATGACGAACTGGTTCCGGTATAGTTTTGACTTTTGAGTTTACTTTCCCGAGCACAACATTTTCCAGTGTCATCAACAGAGAGAGGAGTCAGTTGGAACTCATTTTAAGTTTTAACTAACAATGTCTTGGGTGGTGCTCGATTTGAATTTTATATCCTTTTAAAACATGAGACATAAGCTGAGGCTAAGTTTGTGGAGACAAACTTTTTGGGAATTACACAGTACACGGGTTGGATATCAATTTGTCAAGTGGCTATAGTGACTGTCAAATGATGTTTTTATTTATTTATTATTTTTTCTTCTTGAACGGAATGCTTCCAACTTGGTGACCTTTGGTATACGATGTTTCGGATATGTACAATCCGACTTTTCATACCCTTAAAAATGGGCAATGTATATTTAGGGCTTATACTGGGGCAATCCTTCTATCACAGATTGAAACTGATTGGCAGAGTTCCTATATGTAATCTTGAACCTTCAAACTTCAACCAATTATATCATCATTTTTCAGTTGCATCTGATACATTAACGTGCTATGTCATGTCAGCGTTGGGAGATATATCTAACCTTTGATATTTTTTTTAAAATTTTCAATGAAATATCATCCACACCTTTGAGAAAAATCAATTATGAGTGATGGCTAAGCATTTGCAGTAATATGTAACGGTTTGTGCACTTCCTATCTACCCTTTCTCACCACATAAAAAGAGAGAGAGAAAAAGAAAGGGACATTATTTATGGAAAGAAATAGCGAAATGAATGGCTCATTCAATCAAAGATTGATGGTGAAAATAACCTCTTGGCTTGAGCTGAAGAGGTAGAGACCAGAGTATAACCTCGACAAAAGTGGATGAGGACCAGCTTTTCCCAAAAAGATTCATCACAGGAGTTGGATAAAGTGGAGACTGAATATCATATTATTGAAGCGAGAGTGATCACTCATTCCTTTATCCCAGGATGATAACTTTCCTTGGGCTAATCTTTGGACACGTGTCAATAGATTACTCCATAGATCCTATTAGTATATTCCATAAAGGTCCTCTATATAGGTTTCTTCTTGTGTGAGTTTGCTTTTTGCATTTTCGTCCTGTCTCTTTTTTTATCTAGTAACAACCCCCAACAGGAGCTATGTCAGCCTTCATCGGAAAGTATGCTGGTAAACTCTCTCACTTTCTCTCTCTCTATATACACACACATATACAGAGACACACACACACGTATATATGGTTGAATGAATGTGTGTTAGGAAAAGGTTACAATGAGGGTGGAACATACTCGAGTGTCCTTATTTATTTGTATGCGTGCAAGTGTTATAAAACATAGATAAAAAGATTAAATAGTACCATTCAAAGGAGGAAATTTATGAGGTGGGGTAATCTTGTTGGAAGGGTGTGAGCTACCTCATGAAAGGTTTTTATTTAGTGCGGGTCTTAAAGTAATGATAAAATTATTCTATTGTGATTTTGGGATTATGGACTCAAAACAGGTAGCAGCTAGTAATAAGATTACATACATCAAATTCTCCTTACCTCAATTTTATAGGTAATCTTCTCTCTCTCATTCACTCACTTACTTTGATATATATGTCATCATTTACCAATAAAGAACATCTTAAATTTCCTTTGAAATGCTCTTTGATAAAGAAATAAAAGTTAAAAGTAAGAGGAAGCTGAGAAAAATCTATAGAAGAGGTTGAGTGTTCAAGCCTCCTCGACATTACAGTGGAATCTACTTTATGCCTGGTCGGGGCTACGTTAATTTTTAGTATTTTATTCCTATTGTTTTAATCCAACTAACTATATATATATATATATATATATATATACATACACTCTAGACGAACTGATCAAGAATGCCAAGTACATTGCCACCCCTGGCAAAGGCATTTTGGCAGCAGATGAGAGCACAGGCACCATTGGCAAGCGTCTGTCTAGCATCAATGTGGAGAACATTGAGTCCAACCGCCAAGCTCTTCGCGAGCTCCTCTTCACTTGCCCCAATGCCCTCCCCTACCTCTCCGGTGTCATCCTCTTCGAGGAGACACTCTACCAGAAGACCTGTGATGGAAAGCCTTTTGTTGAAGTCCTCCAAGAAAACAATGTCATACCAGGCATTAAGGTTGACAAGGGCACTGTGGAGTTAGCAGGCACCAACGGTGAGACCACAACCCAAGGCTTCGATTCCCTTGGAGCCCGTTGTCAGCAGTACTACAAGGCTGGTGCACGCTTTGCCAAGTGGCGTGCCGTCCTCAAGATTGGCCCAACCGAGCCATCCGAACTGTCAATCCAGCAGAATGCGCAGGGATTGGCTCGCTACGCGATTATCTGCCAAGAGAATGGACTTGTCCCAATTGTTGAACCAGAGATTCTAACCGATGGGAGTCATGACATTAAGAAATGTGCTGCTGCCACTGAAACTGTGCTTGCAGCGGTTTACAAGGCTCTGAATGACCAACATGTTCTTCTGGAAGGAACACTCTTGAAGCCCAACATGGTTACACCAGGCTCTGATAGCCCAAAGGTAATGCAAAGTGTGTGTGTGTGTGTGTGTAGGATGTTGGCAAGCAATTCAATTTTTCTTTATTTGTTTTCAAACTTGCAGCAAGAGAAAATTTTGGGTTAGAACTTAGAACATAAATGCAATTTAATGAAAAACACTTGCCTCCAATTAATCCGTACATGTGACAATAACACCATATTAAAATGGGCTAATCTACTTGAAATCAGGCCGTTTGATGCAAGTAAAAATGGATTAATTAACTGATTGTACCTTATTTTAGAAGATTATAAAGAGCTAGTTTCAGGTTTTTAACTACCGAAATGCAAAAAGTATTTGCCACGAAATATTAGTAGTCGCAAAACATAAGTGCCACATTAGAACATGTGGAGCCAAGGCTTGTCCAACACATAGGCTGCTCAAACTTTTCATTCTTAAAAGAAATTATTACTTTAGTGGTAATGAATTGGTTGAAGCCATTTGGTAGGTCACACGACTGAAATCACCTTCCATAACATTTATATCAAAATTAGATAAGTGCGCTAGACAAAAGCGCACACTATAAAGTGCTTGCGTAAAAGCATCATATATTGTTCTAATTTAATGTCATGCTTTTTGTAGCTCCATGAAGGCTAAAATTCATATATATTTTTCACAGGTAGCACCTGAAGTGATTGCTGAATACACAGTGACAGCACTGCGCCGAACGGTTCCACCAGCAGTACCGGGGATTGTGTTCTTGTCGGGTGGGCAGAGCGAGGAACAGGCAACTGTGAATCTTAATGCGATGAACAAGTTGGAGGTGTTGAAGCCATGGACGCTTTCCTTCTCATTCGGGCGAGCTTTGCAGCAGAGCACACTGAAGACATGGGGAGGGAAGAAGGAGAATGTGGGGAAAGCTCAGGAGGCATTCTTGACGAGGTGCAAGGCCAACTCGGAGGCCACTCTCGGCAAGTATACTGGTGGGGGTTCTGGTGGATTGGCTTCTGAGAGTCTGTATGTTAAGGGGTACAAGTACTAATATTAAATATGGTTTTCCTGGAATTGAATGACTCCATTCATGTGTCTTGCATAGTGTTTTTATGTAAGAATACATCCTATCATCAATTAAAAAATGACCACACACACACACACACACACACACACACACATATGAAGAAGTATCAAAACAATGAGAGTTCTTATTAGGTATGATGGAGTCGATTCAAATTCAGGAGATGCTCTGACAGAACTCCAACTGTATCATCAAATATGTCTTGTATTTTCCCTTGTAATACATGTTCTCAAAGCCTTTTCATGTGATATTTGTACTCTTACGTTTATTACTTGGAAATGATTTCTCAATGGCATTGCCATGTTTTAATTTTCTTTTATACATCCCTTACACTTGCACCAAAAACGGAAGGGAGGCCGCACTCCATTTTTATACTGTTGCACTTCAATTTTAAAGAAAATGACACCTCTAACTTTAACTCTAAAAATTAATAATTATTTTTTTAAATACCACAACTACCATTTTCAGTTATATTAACCTGTTTTTGTTTTCTCTTCTTTCCCCAATTAACATTTTTGGTATCCCATGATTTTTTTTTTTTTTTTTTTTTTTTTGTTAACGCTCTGTTTTTTTCTCTTACTTCTTGCATTTCTAAACTCTTTTGACAATAAAATTACAAGAACATTAATTTTTTGAAAATAAAAAAATAAAAAAGAGATGGTATTATATACAACTATGACAGTATACCTGTTAAAATATCTACAAATAACTGTTCTAAATTTAAAGAAAAATTTACAATGCTTGTAATTGAATCCATAATTTTAATTGAATAAATCGTCTTGATTTTAATAATTGTGACTGATTTTAATATTGACCATCATCCTAGTAATTTCAGTTGAATAAAATTTCTCCTATCTAAAACATATTGTAAAAAAAGTAATTAAGGTAAGAAAATAAAAAGTTTATAGTGAAAAGGATAATAATGATATTATAAAATGAGAAATAATGCATTAATTAGTTTAGGGATCTTCTTGTCATTTTTTTTTAAAAATAAAAATAATGGAGGGCAATTGTATCCAAAAAGAATATATATATATATATATATATAAATTGAGGCCCAAAGACCAGTCCGACTCCCTTGGATTTTGGACCTGATTGAGCACATTACAGGCTAGCCCAGTGGCTTATAATAGGATGGACAAGGCTTAAAATAGGATGAACAAGGATCGGACTCTCAGTCCAGCCCAATAAATCCGTTCCCTAGCCCATTTTTAGTCCGGCCCACTAAACCTTATTTTAAAATAAAAATAGCAAGTAGTAGATTAGTAGGTTGTGGGCCACACTTCCACAACCTATATGCTAATATCGTTTTGTAAACAAAGGCATCCCCATTTCCAATACAAAGAGATTGGATTCTCTCCATTAGTTTCTCTTGCTAAGCATAATCAAGTTTGTCAATATATCATGTCATCAATTCTGTTCGGCCTGTGCTCCTAAGCCTGGTTTGAAATTTTTTTAAAGTTCCAAGCCTAGCGTGGCCCAACCTTACTCATTGTTAGGGTCAAATTGTTCAGCAACAATAAATGAGTAGGTTGTAGGTTTGTACAGGGCTTGTGAACTTGTTCATAAATATATGCTTGTATAGATTCAAAAACTTGACATTGTGAATATGATTATAATCATATGTTTGTATAGACTCGTTTACGTTATTGAACGAATTAAAACGATCTTAAACACAAGTTTAAATCGAGCCTGAAAAAATAATTATTTATTTATTTAAGGAATTGGACCTAAATTTTTCAAAATAATAACAATTTGAGCCAAGTGAATGAACCAATCCTGAATAAACTCAAACTTTACTCGATTCATTTACAATCATACTTGACAAACTAGGTTCTAAGCCAGCCACATTGCATACTTGTGATAACTAATAAAAAGATGCTATAATGCTTGATCTACATTACATAGTGAGCATTGCACAGTGGCTTGTTGCAGTACATATATATATATATTTTTGGTAGTACTGGTGCAAAAGCTGAATGTTTATAACACAAATACACACAATATATTTCTTTTAGATATGAATAGTAATTATCACTTACCATATAATTTGTGTAGTCAAATAAATCAAGTATTCATTATTATTATTATTATTATTATTATTATTATTATTATTATTACTACTTTAGGTATCACTTTGGAGAGTGTGAATTAGTCGGCTTATCTTTTTGGCGATACAGTCGGTGCCAAAAAATAGTTTTCCTTTCAGAAACAAATTTAACGGTGTTCTTGAAAGCATTGCAATTTGGGCAAAATCGCAGAAAGATTTTTCTGTTCACCAAATCCAACTGTTCATCTCTCGTCGCGCGTGTGCAGACACAGGAATTCTTCCGAGAGTCGGAACGCGAGTTTGAAATCTGATCTCACCGAAGCCATGTCGGTTTCTGTTTCGTTCCGTCTATTATCCACCAAATTCCCACAATCTCTTCTCCACCCCAAAGCCCCAATCTTCAAAACCCTAATTCTGTCAACGCCACCAATGCCTACGAAACTCTCATTCTTTAAATCAATCTCAATCCAAAGAATACCCACCAAACCTCCTTCTTCATCACCACCATCATCTTCAACCTCTGTTCCTCTTCAACCCATTGAAGAACTCCCTCCAAAGCTCCAAGAGATCGTCAAGCTCTTCCAAGCTGTACAAGAACCCAAGGCCAAATACGAACAGCTCTTGTTCTATGGTCGAAATTTAACACCACTCGATACCCAGTTCAAGACTAGCGAGAACAAGGTTCAGGGTTGTGTCTCTCAAGTCTGGGTCAGAGCCTACCATGACTCGGACAAGAACGTGGTCTTTGAAGCCGATTCCGATTCAGTTCTCACCAAGGGACTCGCTGCTTTGCTCGTTCAGGGTCTTTCTGGTCGTCCCGTTGAAGAAATTTTGAGGGTTTCGCCCGATTTTGTTGTGTTGCTTGGGTTGCAACAGAGTCTGACGCCTTCGAGGAATAATGGGTTCTTGAATATGTTGAAATTGATGCAAAAGAAGGCCTTAAATCTATATGTTGAGGCTGAGAAGGCTGGTGGATTGGGTGGCGAAAGCTCAGTTGGAAGCTCAAATTCAAGCCCACGGATTGATGTTAAAACCGGGGAGTCGATGATTGGAGTGAGTTCTGAAGTGACCATTGATGATTCGAGATCAAAAGGTGGTGATGGTGTTGCTTTGGGGAGTAGAGGAGAGAGAATTAAGGAGAAATTGGAGAGAGACCTTTGCCCTATTGAATTGATGGTAGAAGATATATCTTATCAGCATGCTGGGCATGCCGGTGTCAGAGGAAGCAATGGCGAGACGCATTTCAATGTGAAAGTTGTTTCAAAGGAGTTTGAAGGGAAGAGCTTGGTTAAGAGGCATAGACTAATATATGATTTATTGCAAGATGAGTTGCAGAGTGGACTACACGCATTGTCAATTGTGGCAAAGACACCACATGAGGTTGATAATAAATGAAGAGTTTTCAAACAAGAGGTTTTCTTTTACTTTCTTTTTATTCATTATGTCAGCCTTTTATATAGTGTGTTTCAAGTTCTTTATGTAAGTGAAGTCTGGTGTTTGATCTTCAAAGTTCAAAGGACTTGCATATAATTGAGCTCAATATTTCTACATAGTTGTGTATAACTTGTTTCTATATAACTTGTTTCTAGTTATATCCGTAATTGAACTCCAGGGTATTTTTATCTTCCCGAGCCAATTAATAAATTATTCTCTCTGTTAATTACTGCATCAGTTTGCAAAAAGAAGGAAAGGTTTATTCCTTTTACTTTACTTAGCCAGGTTCCCATAAAGGTTTATTCCATTTACTTAGCCAGGTTCTCGTGAAGGTTTATTCCCTTTACTAGCCAGGTTCTCGTGACAAGAAATTTCTTTCCTATGAACAAAATGTTAGTTGAATTGAGTTTTTCAAGATCATAGATGTTTGTTCCAGGTCAGCATTATTTGATGATTTATACCAGCAAAGGTTACTCCACTCCCTCTGACCCTCGTGTTTTAATTAGAACTTATGAATAGCAAAGCCTATGGCCACAACAATTTGCATCAAAGATTTCCTCCTCTAGATGTGAGCGTCTACGATTTCTTCAAGGTTGAACTTGAAAATTATGTTATGATCTCCATAGCCTCACTACTGGTTTTATGTTTAGTTAGAGATCAATGGATTATGTGGTTGAGAGATGGGTTGTTGGCCTGAGGATGGATAATTTCTCTTTGGATTGGTTAAGCCCCTATCTTTTATTGGAATGTGTGGCTGGGGAATTGGGTCATAGTCTTGGGTAAGAGGATTCCTTTATGGATTTTGTTTAATCTCCTAAATTTTCTTTAGGTTGAATATTTCTATAAGGAAGTCGTATCCTATTACTTATTAAAAAAAAAGGAAGTCGTATCCTATTAAATACTTATACTCCTCTGCTACAAGCGGATACATATCCATATTTCCTAAACATATAAATAATTTAGAAATATAATTTATATTTCAAACATGTATCCCATACTAATCATGTACTCTTGGACATGTGTTAGACACGTCTTGAACATTAAAATGCAGTATTTCTAGTACAATATTGTGATATGATTGTCAGGCGAAATGGAACTCTTGTTTAAACATCTGGATTTTCTTAAGAAAGAAGATTGTTAATTTAGTCCAATGTTCTCTTCGGTAAGGAGTCCAAAGTCCATTGCAATTGCAAATATGTTTTTTTCCTTCGTGTTTTTTGTTTCACCATTGATTGTGGGTTAAGCTATTATTTTCTATCTAGGTAAAGTGCATTATATGCTCTATTGAAAACCATACCATGTTGGTGTTACAGCTCGTTTCAACAAATGACTTAAAAGTTTCCATATTAGTATCTTAATGAAATCCTACACCTGTCTGTTTTGGATATCCTTTGCCTAGCTTTTCTTTCAGGCAAGTAGGTGGATTAAATATATAAATGCAAGTTAAAGTAGAATGTAGAGCGCACTATTGTTGAAATGTATAAGGATTTAAAGGAGTAAGAAATGGGAAGGAAATCAGCAAGGGAATCTTTGTTGATACCGTATGTCTCTGACTGCTCTTTAACAGCTTGATCCTAAGTTCCTTGAAATCCCCTAAAGTTTTCAAATTCATGAAGCCATGATGATGAAAAAGCCTATAAATTTCTGGCAATAGCTTCTTAATGATAATCTTGTACATATCTTTTCTTTTCTTTTTTATTTTGACCACATCAATTTACTCACCTTTTTCCTGTTATTCTGGTGCTCGTTTTTTTCTTTCTTTCTACCCTCCCTGGGGAATTTCTCTAGGTTAGTTGATTTGTGTGAATATTCTGATCAACATGAACACCAAACAAAGATATAATGTAAACAAATGACATTTGACTCCATTTATTGAGGCTGCAATTTGTGAAAAAACACCCTTTAAGCTTGTTTAAGTACAACCCAGAAAGAATTGTCGTGTCCTTAAGATAGGCATCACATCAATATATATACATGTGGAAACAGCGATTTAATTCTCAATCCACACAGTATAGGAAAATTGAAAAACATGGTAAAAGATTGTTCTGCAATCTCATCTCTTGGTTTTGCAACTATGAGTGATTAGAACACCAGTTGGTGGACCAGTCATTTCTAACTGGCATCTCCCATGCAACCAATATGAGTAATGAATCAGACCTAGAGTAGCTCTCACTCTAAATGTTCCTCTTATGTTGTAACTAACCCTGTTGCTCTGTACCTGCTTTTGGAGTTCCAATGAAAGATTTTGGGGCAAATACACCAAGCTTGATATCAAGTGGACAGCTATCAACCTTGTTTCTCCTTGCCTCTGACTGAACGTCTGAAGAGCTTGTCTTGCTATGAGACTGTCAGAAAAGTAGAGCTCTATATCTAAGTTCTCGAATCTTACATTGAGTTTCCGGTTTGGGTTAGAGAAATTTGCAAGGAAGGTGAAATCACCGTTGAAATACTGCGGGGAATCAAAGTAGATGACATTGAGGCTTGCAGAAGGGGTGTCAAACACTGGGTTTCTTGGTTTGACGTCAAGAAAGATGATCAAAGTTCCAATTCCGAAGAAGATGAGAAGAAGGCTGAATATGAGACACAGGATGGCAGCACACCATACCATTGGGTTGGTCCTACGAGGTTGCCGGAGTATTGGTTGCTCTCTCAGTGTTTTTGCGCTACCATTTTGCTCATCTGATGATACACTTTGTTTATTCATGGCTGGCTTTGTTATGACAATTTGGTTGAGAGGAGTTGTATTCATGGTTTGCTTTCGGGGTGGAGTCCAAGGTGGTGGTGGTGGTGGGGGAAGGGAAAGCATCTTCAAAGAAGTGGAATGAAGAAAAACCTCAGTAGCAAGTATTACCAATGATGGAAGAGATGAAGATGGATGTTTCAGAAGCCAGTATTACTAATAATGTAGAAGATGAAGATGGATGTTTCTTAAATAAACCTATGAAATGGATTCATAGGTTAAAGGTAAGTAAAGAAGATAAAGAAGCTTTTGATTGAGGGGTAGTGGGACCAATGTGTTGTTTTGAAATTGACAAAAGGAGATGGGGTTGGGATTTAAAGTCGAGTGACAGATGTTTGGGTTTGAATGAGAAATGTTTTGCTGTTGATATTGGTCCAAAACTCGAAAAGGAGATGGCCCTGCAAAAAGAGCTCATGCTGTCTCTACTTTCTTGAAGTTCCAATTGCTAATTGTTTGACTTGTCAAAGGATCAAAAGTTGATCTATTTGGTCCACCCAATCAACGGCATTGATATTGTTTTATATCATCAATTACACCACGTTGCTGCCTTGATAGTGCCTTTTCTATGGTATGTTGATGCTTACCCACTAAGTTTTCGCGGAGAGTGAGAGATAGACCCTGTGAACCATATTATTATTTAATTAATGTGAAAAAATTCCCCTGAATTGTGTGAGTCGTGACAATATGGAAGTGGGTTCTTTTCAGAGTGCATTCTAGGTGGATCAAAAAGAATTTAAAAGGAAAAACAAGCAGGAAGTGGTGCCCGCATAGCATTCATTATCAAGGAAAACGAGGTTGGCATTTCACTTTTGTACACCAATTATGGATTTTCTTTTTCAAGAATTAAGTCGGTATTTAGTGACTTGTTTGGTTGGAGTAGTTGAAAATCAAATAGATAAGTTATACATAGTGAGAGTAAGATTAGTAGGAACATGAGAAAAAAATTTATTTAGAAGAATTGTGGGACTTAAGTTGTTATTTTTTTAACTTTGAAAGAATTGAAGGACTTAGATTAGTTTTTTGATTTTATATATTTTGTGAAATTTATTTATAATTATATATGTGCATTTACATTGTTAAATTACATAAAACTCTCCTAAATTTGACTGCTAGATGATTTTTAAATGTTTGTGAAATTACTGAATTGACCTTTAGGTAAACCACATAAAGACCTCTGATATGAAAAATGGTTTATAGTTTAAGGGCTCTTGTGCAATTAATCCAATATCATCTAGATCTCACGTGATGCTTTTGCTGTCAATGTTTAAAGGTAACTACAAAGGGGTGTCCGGCAAGTCTTTGATATTTGAGCATGGTTATTTGCTTGCAAAACTAAAAATTAAATGGAGTGATGCAATTATTTTTTATTTTTTATTTTTTTAAAGAAGCTTTTGTGCAATTACATTATAAAATTATTAACAATATTTGTTACATTTTAAAATCGTTAACAATATTAGCATAATTAATAAAATTTACATATAAACCCTTTGCAATACCAAATAAATAAATAAAAGAAATGATAATTTTCACTTTGAACTTTTGAAAGATGAATAAATAAATGTTATGTAAATCCAGCATTCGGGATTATATAAATGTGTTTGGTTTTGACTTATTACAATTCACTTTTTTAGGAATACTCTTGTTATATGAAATGTGTGAATATCAAGGACCATTTCCTTAGTAGAAAAAAATTTATTGAATCAATTAGACCCTTCTTGATTATATGTGATTAAATTATCATCAAGACTTGTCTTTTGGTGGTATCTCCGTCCTTCTAAAGTAAAAGGCAGAAAGTTTGATTAAATCATACAGGACTAAATTCATCTTAATTGCTATTTAATACTTCTTTCGTCCCAATTTAATTGTCCATCTTCTTTTTTTTTTTTTTTTTTTTTTTTTTTTTTTTTTTTAAATTATCTCAAAATACTTATCCACTTACAAAATTCAACCAAAATATGTCCTTGAATATTTTTAAGTATATATTTAAAATTTTAAAAATATTTTAATAATTTTTTTAAAAATAATACAATAATTACATATATCTTTAAAAAAATTTACTCAGATGAAACATCTGGGAGGGAGGTGAGAAAATTCATTGCGTGTGTATACTACTTGTGGTGGGGCATGTGTTTGGTTCATATGGTCCAAGATAAAAGGAACTTGGGAGTCTTTCATAGCTATTCCTCTGTGTCTTTTGATTTTTCTATTAAATTGGAATAGATTCGTGCCACGTGGCCAATTAATATCATGAAGTCCCAAGGCTAAGGGGGCCACCAACGTACTGACCATCTTGTAGACTCTTTAATTTCATCAACTTTCTTTACCTTCTCCCTCACCCTCTCTGCACCAAACTCAACAAATGTCCAAACAAATTGGCCTTTTGATTTCATCATGTTCGATGATCACACTCCATCACTGCTAAATCACAATCCCAGTTGGTAATCAATCTCTTATCTTCATGCAGGTAAACGCTACTGATATTTTTATTAACAGACAATTACTATATTTTATAAATGTATCTGTATACATACATATATATATATATATATATATATATATATATATATATGAAATTATGATTCCATACATGTGTTTGTGTGTGTTCTCTTTGTAGATCGATATTTGGTTGCTACTTGCTTATATTTGTGAAATTATTGTCTGATCACTCTGGCACTTCTTCAAGAATGTTCAGGGTTTTCTATTAATGAAGAATTTTGTAGACTATTTTTATTTATTTATTTTTCTTCTTCTTCTTCTTATTTTTTTTTTTTTTTTAATTTTGTAATGGTAGAAAGTAGATTATAGTTTTGGTGGTGAGTTTCTTTGGGGTTTGAAGAGATCGAATAACTTACCATTTTGGAACGTGTGTGTTTTGAATTGAATTGGAATTATTCAAACTTGGTTTCTAGCTCATTGATTACACCATCAGTGTCCTTAATTAAGTCATTAAATAGAAAAATCCATTTTAGATTTCGAAGTAAATATATCACCATCTTAGACTCAGTTTGTTGAGTAAAATATTTTTCGAAAAGAAAAAAATATATTAAAATTTATAAATAATAATTTATTCGTTAATTTTTGGCAAGTAATTTTAAATGCTCTACCGATAAATTCAACCACAATTTTTTTTTTTTTTTTTTTTTTTTTATCACATCTTCTTGGGAAAATGAAAGAACGGTATATATTCCATCTCTATGTTTTCAAAAGAAATATGTGAGTGTAAAATTAATTTCAGTGAATGGCACATATATAAACCTCATATATCACTCTCTAATCTCATAACAGGGCCCTTGGACTTGGAGGTAGAGGAGGATCAAGGAGGGTTCAATGGGGCAAGTTCTTTCTGACATTATTCAATTTGCATATCATAATCTGCTCAGACTAGGTCATAATCTGCTACTTCCTCCCCCAAGTCCAACCTCAACAAATGAATCAAACACAAGTTCTTTTACTGCATTACTACCAACACCACTCTGTTCATCACCAAGCTCAGATTCATGTAGCGACTTGACCAAAAGTGGTTCATCAGTTCATCTAACTAGCCCGGATTCAACCACAAGCACTGCATTGCAACATGTTGCACTGGGTCGTCAACCATGCTTGAACTCAAATATAGACTACTCGCGCACAACTAGTGCATTGCATCAGAATTCACATGGTGACTTGGGCTCGGCTTGTGCTTTGCAGCAAGAAAGGCTTATTTCTTCAGAAAGTTTGGAGTCACTGCGTGAATTTCTGGCATTAGAACTAACTAAGGTTTATTCAAGCACAGACATACTCGGCAATTCAAGTACTTATGTTCCGACATTAGATCCGCCTTTAGGTGTTGATTTAAACATTGAAGTTGTAGAAAAAAAGAGACAAGCTATTCCATCTCTCTCACATGTAAACTCAATAGAGCCAAGTGGAAAGGAAAGAGAGAGAGAGAGAGAAAGAGAAAGAGAAAGAGAAGAGAAGGTAAGTAAGGGAGTGGTGAAAAAAGAGAGATGGATAAAACATTATAGCAGTCATCAAAAAATTCTACTAGTGGGTGAAGGGGACTTCTCATTTTCTGCTTGTTTGGCTGTGGCTTTTGGTTCTGCTAACAACATGATTGCAACTTCTCTTAATTCTAAAGGTAAGAAACATATATGTATCAATTCTTTGTTACTTCGTGCATAAATACTTATATATTACTGAAACTCATCACTCATTCTCTTCATGATACTCTTTTGTAATACTACATGAGATGGAGTTTTGCAGGGTATTTGAGGAAAAATTATGAGAACGCGAGGTCCAACATCGAAAAATTAAGGAGCAGAGGGTGTAAGGTCAGGCATGGTGTGGATGCCACTAAAATGTCTAACCATGTGTTACTCCAGGCCATGGAATTCGATCGCATTATTTTCAATTTCCCTTTTGCTGGCTTTCTTAAAAATGAATCACGCAAGCCAGCGCTTCGGTTAGTAAACTTCTATGGACAAATGGCTATGGTGAATCTATACATTTATCTTAAAATGATTTCCAACACAATTTTTCCTTCTGCAGGCGACACAAAAAACTAGTGCGCCAGTTTCTAGTGAATGCCAAGAAAATGATCGCTGAAAAGGGAGAAATTCATATTTCCCACAAATCAAATGGCTTCTTCTTGGAATGGAATGTGGAATTCCTGGCATCACAGGCAGGCCTTCGGCTTATTGAAGCCGCGGATTTTAATGTGAATGACTATCCAGGCTACTGCACCAAATATGGGTTTGGAGGCGACACAAATTTCAACTGCGACACAAATTTCAACTGCAACCCCAGCAAAACTTACAAATTTGGGCTTAAAAAACCAAAAAAAGAGAGACTCTACTACTACTACTAATGTTGTAAATTTCACTTATTGCATTGTTACTGTTATTTTCATACTTGTGCTTGCAGGGTGCTAGCTATACAGTTACCAAATGATGTTATCTGATTTTTTTTTTTTTTTTTTTGGTTGTAATCAACTTTTATTGTGTGTATACTGCTATGAATGAATGTAAAGGTTTGTGTTTAAAATTTTGGAGAGAGGAGTCCAGATTGTATGAATGCTCTAACGTTTTCCTCATCGTTTCCCAGCCCACTCTCTGACTCTGAGTAAATGGGCTTGCTCTTCTTCTTGACATTTGTTCTCGTCATTTTATTAAAATGAAATCTCTCTTTGGTATCTGAAAAAATGAAATAAAAAGACCACATTTTCACAAGTTGCATGCAATCAAATTGCACATACAATTGAAGAACAATAATATATGAGGATGGGACAAGACAAACCAGAGTTCGAGTGGCTCTACTCAACTTACGGGATAAATAGTAATATCTTAAGAGACAATTGCAATATTTCAAGAGATCAATGAACAAATTACATGAAATATGTGAAAATAAAGACCATTCCTTGGTAGAAATTTTTTGATTGGATCAATACATCTTAATCTCTAATTAATAAGAAATTTTTTGATTGCATTTTTACTTGGATGTCTCTTGTGGAGCCCATGTGTCCGTGTATTTTAAAATTTTCTTATTAAAATTAAAAGTTTTAGTGCGTGCATAGATGCCTAGTGGTGTGTTTGGATCATATGGCCTAACATTATCAAAAGTCCAAAACATAAAGGAAGTCTTCGTCCCCTGTTTAATTTGTTTTTCGATTAAGTTCGAATACATTGGTGCCACGTCACCAATTAACATCATGAAGTCTCAAGGCTAAGGCCCACCAACGTACGGGGACCATCTTCTTGGACTCATCAACTCTAATTCTTTACCTTCCTTCTCTCTCATCCTTTCTGCACCAAACTCAAATGTCCATAACAGATTGGCCTTTTGATCTCATCATGCTTGATGATCACAGACCGTCACTGCTAAATCCACTCCAATTACAATCCCAAATGGCAATCAATCTCTTACCATAAGGTCTCAACACAACTGCATACATCTTCGTGAAGGTAAGTAAAAGCTACTGATTTTTTTTTTTATCAGATAATTATGTTTAATAAGTGTATCCATATGCATATGAATACATACATGTGTTTGTGTATGCTTGCTTTGTAGATTTCTATTGGGTGATAAACGGGCAGAGTTTTTGCTTATATGTGTGAAATAGAGTCGGAGCCAAGATTGTAAAGTAGAGAGGGCTAAAAATAATTAAATCTATGATTGCTTAGTGTGTCATCCATACTCTAAATACATAATTATCATGCATCACTTATTCAATTAAACCCAATAATTTATAACTTTCTAACACATTTACACTTTCAAACTTTAACGTATTTTCGCCGTCAAAAATTTTGCTTCATACAAGTATTAAAACAAAATAAGACTTATGTGCTCCGCCCCTGACTAGTTATTAATCTATTATATAGTAAATTATTCAATTTAATAAGAAATTATCAAATCATCAATAAAGTCCCTCATTTATTTTATTATATATATATATATATATATACAAAAATAAAATTCAATATTTCTTGTTTCTATTTAATGTTTCACCTTTGTAAATTGAGGAAGGCTAGTGACAGCCGACTGCTGTCAGTTGTGTGAGGTGTCAGCAGCCTATTGGCTGCTGACTTTTGCTATTTTTTATTTTTTGTTTTTTGAGCCTCACGCCTTTTGATTCATTTTTTTAATTATTTTTTCTGTTTCTTTGTCGATTCTCTCTTCTCCCTCCCTGATCTTTTTCTTTCTCTATGTCGATTCTCTTTTTTTTTTACAGCCAAGAACTTGGGCTGGAACTGGCATACAATGGACCGGCGAGCAAAGGACGCCGACAAAATTCGGAAGTGGGTTCGAGTCCCTGTGTGAGATCGTTCGAGCTGCGGAGAGTCGCCGGCGAAACGGCGGTTGTCAACGTCGACGGTGATGGATTCAGTTGAGCCACAGTCGATGAGGCAGTGGTCGATCGGAGAGAAGGAGGCTGCGATTGCGAGGTTGATGAGAATAGATCCAGTGGTGGTGGATCGAGCTCGCGGCGGATCTGGCGAAAACAAGAAGACGGCTGTGAGAACAGATCCGGCGGCTGTGTGATGAGCTTTTAGTCGGCGCGGTGAGCTTGGAAATGGAGAGCTCGGCGACGGTTCACGGGTCCTACCCCGGACCTGTTTCAGTGTGCGAATCTCTTCGTTTTGCAGTCCGGGACAATCAGTTCACCGGTGTCATGCCTCTGACTCTGAGTTCTCTTCCCAAATTGGTGAATGTCTTGTTGCAGAACAAAAAATTGCAGGGTCCAATGTCTGTAATTTGGGGAAAGAACTTAGACATAGAGAGAGGAAGAGAGCAGGGGAGGGAGAAGAGAGAGAATCGACAAAGAAACAGAAAAAATAATAAAAAAATGAATCAAAAGGCGTGAGGCTCAAAAAAACAAAAAATAAAAAATAGTAAAAGTCAGCGGCCAACAGACTGATGACACCTCACACAACTGATAGCGACGGTCACTAGCATCCTCTTACAAATTTTATAACTCTTTTTTATTTATAAAAATACTATGAATTGAGTTGGGCTGATAAGAAGAGAAAGAATAGTCTATGGGCTTACAGGAATAATAGTACTAAATTTTATTTTTCAATCGGATCTAGAATATGGCCCAGGTTAGTCCATTACTAATTCCTCCCTTGGTGTGAAATTATTGTCTCTTCACTTTGGGGCTTTTTGAACAATGTTCATGGTTTCTATTAATGTAGATTTTCCTAGGCCTTTTTATAGTTATTAAGAAAGTTCTAATACTTGAAGACTTGGTTGCATTGAGATTTTGGACGAAGAACACAATCAATATTATTATTATAGAAGCTTTTTATGCCTTTGGATTAGTGAAGTTATTCAACAATGCACACTCATTATTTTGAAGTAATGGTTGTTGCCAACTCGAAATATTGGTGGTGCTAATGGTTGGTTGATCCTTAAAGTAAAAGTGTTGCTTATGCACAACAAAACATAGCACACAATTTGTAAATTGTAAGAAAAATGCTAGTTAAACCTATTTCCTAAGTCGAGGAGTGTAGATGGAGCCCGATGTTTGATCTTATCAATTTCATCAAATGGACAAAAACCCTTTTGGGTACATTTGGTTCTAGGAGTAAATATAAAGAACCCTAGGTATGTTAAATCAATCAAAATGCACATTTCAAGTTGGTTGTTGACAGTTTTTATATGATGGTGGGACCAAATTTCTTGAATGGTGTATTGTAATTGGTTGACGTTGTTGCATCCTCTAAATAGCATTACTCAATTTGTAAATGTAAGGATGGATCCTCTTTCAATGGATGGTAAGAGTAGTTCTGAAGAGTACCAAGAACTCGCATTTTCTGAATGTGTGTTGAATTGGAATTCTTCAAACTTGGTTTCTCAATAAGCCTCGGATAGGTCACTGATTACACACAATCAATGCCCTTAATTATGCAAGTAGAATCAGTAGATGGAAACAAACATGCAGTTTAAATTTTGAAGTCAAAATAGCAATATCTTATTGGGAAATTGCAAGAACTATTCAATCTCTATCCTTTCCAACAAAATATGTACTACTGTAGAATTAAATTTCAGTGAATTGTCCATAAACATCACCACTTTGTACTCTCGTAACAGGACCCTTGAAGGTAGAGGAGGAGGATCAAGGAGGGTTCAATGGGTCAAGTTCTCTCTAACATTATTCAATGCATATGTGGTGAAGCAGAGGATGATGATTTGGAAAGGCTAAGTGATCATAATCTGCTACTTCCAACCACACAAAATGAATCCAGAACTATCTCAGCTGGTGCATTACTACAAACCCCACTTAGTTCATCGTCAAGCTCATACTCATGCAGTGACTTGAGCACAACTGGTTCATCAGTTCATCTATCTAGTTTGGACTTACATGGGGTCTCAAATACAAGCTCTTCTGCATTGCATCATATTGCACTGGGTGTTCACCAATGCTTGAACTCAAATACGGACTCGAGCACAACTAGTGCATTGCATCAGAACTCACACGGCGACTTGGGCACAGCTTGTGCTTTGCAGCAAGAAATACTGATTTCTTCAGAAAGCTTGGAGTCACTAGGTGACTCAAGTACTAGTAGCCCATTAGAAGAAGTATACTGATTTCTTTAACTATTGATTGATTGTTGTCAAATAAGGCAGCAGCGTTAGGTGTTTGACTGTTAGACGATTTTTAAATGTTTTGTGAAATTACTGAATTGATCTTTAGGTAAACCGCATAAAGTCCTCTGATATGCAAATGTTTTATAGTTTAGGGGCTCTTGTGCAATTAATCCAATATGATCTAGATCTCACGTGATGCTTTTGCTGTCAATGTTTAAAGGGGATAGTCACCAAAAGCAAAAGCATCCGGCAAATTTTTGATATTTCAGCATGGTTATTTGCTTACAAAATTTAAAATTAAATGGATCGAAGCAATTATTTTTTATTTAATTTTTTATTTAAAGAAGGTTTTGTGCAATTACATTGTAAAACTATTAACAATATTTGTTACATTGTAAAATCGTTAAAAATATTCGCATAATTAATAAAATTTACATATAAACCCTTTGCAATACCAAAAAATAAAATAAATAAATAAATAAAAGAAATGATAATTTTCACTTTGAACTCTTGTAAGATGAATTAATAAATGTTATGTAAATCCAGCATTCGGGATTATACAAATGTGTTTGACTTTTGACTTATTACATTTTAATTTTTTAGGAATACTCTTGTTATATGAAATATGTGAAATCACAGGGACCATTTCCTTAGTAGAAAAAATTGATTGAATCAATTAGACCCTTATTGATTATATGTAATTAAATTATCATCAAGACTTGTCTTTTGATTGTATGTCCTTTTAAAGTAAAATGGAGAAAGTTTGATTATATTATACATGACTAAATTTATTTTAATTGTTATTTAATATTTTTTCTGTCCTAATTTAATTGTCTATCTTTTCTTTTTAGATTGTTTCAAAATACTTATCTACTTAAAAAATTCAACCAAAATATGTCCTTGAATATTTTTTAAGTATATATTTAAATTTTAAAAAATATTTTAATAATTTTTTTAAAAATAATACAATAATTACATATTTCTTTAAAAAAATTTACTCAGATGAAACATCTGGGAGGGAGGAAGGGAATAATAAGTACTCGTAATTGAGAAAATTCATTGCGTGTGTGTACTACTTGTGGTGGGGCACGTGTTTGGTTCATATGGTCCAAGATAAAAGGAACTTGGGAGGAGTCTTTCTTTGTTATTCCCCTGTGTCTTTTGATTTTTCTATTAAGGTGGAATAGATTCGTGCCACGTGGCCAATTAATATCATGAAGTCCCAAGGCTAAGGGGGCCACCAACGTGCGGACCATCTTTTAGACTCTTTAATTTCATCAACTTTCTTTACCTTCTTCTCTCTCACCCTCTCTGCACCAAAACTCAACAAATGTCCAAACAAATTGGCCTTTTGATCTCATCATGTTGGATGATCACACTCCATCACTGCTAAATCACAATCCCAGATGGTAATCAATCTCTTATCTTTATGAAGGTAAACGCTACTGATCTTTTTTATTAACAGACAATTACTATGTTTTATAAATGTATCTGTATATGATTCCATATATACAAGTGTTTGTGTGTGTTCTCTTTGTAGATCGATATCTGGTTGCTACTTGCTTATGTTTGTGAAATTATTGTTTGATCACTGTGGCACTTTTTCAACAATGTTCAGGGTTTTCTATTAATGCAGAATTTTGTTGACTATTTTTATTTATTTTTCTTCTTCTTTTTATTATTATTTTTTAATTTTTTAATGTTAGAAAGTACTACTAGATTATAGTTTTGATGGTGAATTTCTTTGGGGTTTGAAGAGATCGAATAACGTATCATTTCGGAACGAGCGTGTTTTGAATTGGAATTATTCGAACTTGGTTTCTCATTGATTACACCATCAGTGTCCTTAATTAAGTCAGTAAATAGAAAAATCCAGTTTAGATTTTGAAGTAAAAATACCACTATCTTAGACTTCATTTGTTGAGTAAAATAATTTTCTCGAAAAATATTTTGTGTTTTTTGGGTTTTTGGTTGTCCTAAAATATATACAAAGAAAACAGATATTAAAACATAACAAAAATAATTCATCAATTTTCGTCAGACCTCCACTCGATAGAATCAACCTAAACCTTTGCTAAACATAAAAAAAAAAGAAAATTACCTTTACGTCCAATCAAAAGGAAGTTCACATCTTCTTGAAAAAATGCAATAACTATATATATTCCATCTCTATGTTTTCAAAAGAAATATGTGAGTGTAAAATTAATTTCAGTGAATGGTACATCTATAAACATCATATATCCACTCTCTACTCTCATAACAGGGCCTTGGACTTGCAGGTAGAGGAGGATCAAGGAGGGTTCAATGGGTCAAGTTCTCTCCAACATTATTCAATTTGCATATCATAATCTGCTCAGACTAGGTCATAATCTGCTAGTTCCTCCCCCAACTCCAACCTCAACAAATGAATCAAACACAAGCTCTTTTACTGCATTACTACCAACACCCCTCAGTTACGCGAGTGGTGCAGAGGATTATGATTTGGAAAGGCAAAGTCATAATCTTCTACTTCCAACCACACAAAATGAATCAAGAACTAGCTCAGCTGGTGCATTACTACAAACCCCACTTAGTTCATCATCAAGCTCATACTCATGCAGTGACTTGAGCACAACTGGTTCATCAATTCATCTATCTAGTTTGGACTTACATGGGGTCTCAAATACAAGCTCTTCTGCATTGCATCATATTGCACTGGGTTTTCACCAATGCTTGAACTCAAATACGGACTCGAGCACAACTAGTGCATTGCATCAGAACTCGCACGGCGACTTGGGCACAGCTTGTGCTTTGCAGCAAGAAATACTGATTGACTTGGGCACAGCTTGTGCTTTGCAGCAAGAAATTCATATTCAATGCATATGTGGTGAAGCAGAGGATGATGATTTGGAAAGGCAAAGTCATAATCTGCTTCTTCCAACCACACAAAATGAATCGAGAACTAGCTCAGCTGGTGCATTACTACAAACCCCACTTAGTTCATCATCAAGCTCATACTCATGCAGTGACTTGAGCACAACTGGTTCATCAGTTCATCTATCTAGTTTGGACTTACATGGGGTCTCAAATACAAGCTCTTCTGCATTGCATCATATTGCACTGGGTTTTCACCAATGCTTGAACTCAAATATGGACTCGAGCAAAACTAGTGCATTGCATCAGAACTCACACGGCGACATGGGCACAGCTTGTGCTTTGCAGCAAGAAATACTTATTTCTTCAGAAAGCTTGGAGTCACTAGGTGACTCAAGTACTAGTAGCCCATTAGAAGAAGTACCTATGGTTCTATATTCAAGCACAGACATACTCAGCAATTCACGTACTTATGTTCCAACATTAGATCCACATTTCGGTGTTGATTTAAACATTGAAGTTGTAGAAAAAAAGAGACAAGCTATTCCAGTTCTCTCACATGTAAACTCAATAGAGCCAAGTGGAAAGGAAAGAGAAAGGGAAAGGGAAAGAGAGAGGAAAAAAGAGAAGGTAAGTAAGGGAGTGGTGATAAAGGAGAGATGGATAAAACATTATAGTAGTCATCAAAAAATTCTATTAGTGGGTGAAGGGGACTTCTCATTCTCTGCTTGTTTGGCTGTGGCTTTTGGTTCTGCCAACAACATGATAGCAACTTCCCTTAATTCTCAAGGTAAGAAACATGCATCAATTCTGTGTTGTAATGGAATCTCAAGCATGCCTTTTCCTTTAAATTGGTTATCATACATATTGAAAAATAGTGACTCCTTCATATTTTTGTAACTCATTACTCACTGACTTCATTCATCATACTGTTATGTTAAAAATGAGATGGACTTTGCAGGGTTTTTGAGAAAAAATTATGGCAAAGCGAGTTCCAACATTGAAAAATTAAGGAGTAGAGGGTGTAAGGTCACGCATGGTGTGGATGCCACTGAAATGGCTAAACATTTGTTATTCGAGAGCATGGAATTTGATTGCATTATTTTCAATTTCCCGCATGCTGGCTTTCTTAATCATGAATCCCGCAAGTCAGAGCTTCGGTTAGTGAACTTCTGCAACAAATGGCTTTCACGAATCGATATATTTATGTAAAAATTATTTCCAATACATTATTTTTTTTCTTTTTTCTTTTCTGCAGACGACACAGAAAACTAGTACGGGAGTTTCTAGCGAATGCCAAGAAAATGATCTCAAAAAATGGAGAAATTCATATTTCCCACAAATCAAATAGCTTCTTCTTGGAATGGAATGTGGAATTCCTGGCATCACAGGCGGGACTTCGAGTTATTGAAGCGGTGGATTTTAATCTGAATGACTATCCAGGCTACCACACCAAATATGGGTTTGGAGGTGACAAAAATTTCAACTGCAACCCCAGCAAAACTTACAAATTTGGGCTTAGAAAAAATATAAAAAATACACTGTACTACTGCTAATGCTGTAAATTTCACTTATTGCATTGTTACTGTTATTTTGATACTTGTTGTAACGAACTTTTATTGTGTGTATATACTGCTATGAATGAATGCAAAGGTTTGTGTTTAAAATATGAGAAATTTTTTGGCGAGAGGAGTCCAGATTGTATGAATGGTCTGTGACTGTCAGTAAATGGGCTTGCTCTTCTACTCCCTCCTGACTTGTTGACCTTTGTTCTGGTGATTTTATTAAATGAAATCTCTCTTTGGTATCTGAAAAAATGAAACAAAAAGTCTATACATTCATGCAATTAAATTGACAAATTGCACATACAATTGAAGAACAATAATATATATATACGTAGTATACATTGACCGGCAAGGAGGAGGAGGAGGAGGAGGGAACAAGTCAAACTAGAGCTCGAGTGGCTCTACCAATTGGGCTAATCAACTTGGCCGAAGAATAAAAATATACAATTGTAATATTTCAAGAAATCACTGGACAAATTACATGAAATGTGTGAAAATAAAGACCATTCCCTTGGTAGAAAATTTTGATTGGATCAATCTTAATCCCTAATTAATAAAGATAAAAGTAAAATTATTATTATTTTTTAAATTTTTTTGTTTTTAGTTGAACTCACACACACAAATCTCTTCTGAGACTTGAACCCTCTACCTCCCTTTGAAAGGTAAAAAGCCGATATCGCTAGGTCATTGGCCCGTTAGTGATAAAAGTAAAATTGCAGTTGCCGAAACTGAATTTTACTTGGTTGTCTCAACCTTTTACAACTATGTATCCATATATTTTAAATTTTTTTTATTAAAATTAAAAAATTTATTGTCCGTTTGACAATCACAGTTGCTTTGTACTTTTGCTTTGACCCGAAGCAGAAGTAATATTTCTGCTTCAGAGTGTGTTCAACACTATTTAGAAATTACTTTGGTAACGTAAATCTGTTACAAGATTTTTAAAAACAAAAAATGAAAGCATGTTTGATAAAAAGTGTTGCAAGTTTGAATGGTTAATTAAAAATATTATTTTAGAATTTTTTTTAAAATTTTTTTCTGAACAATGCTTTGTTACAGTGCGCGAAAACAAATAAAAGTATATATCACTTTGATGCTTTTAATTTTGATCTTAATTTTAAAAAATTATTTAAAAATACAATAAATATTCCTAAATATGTTTGGTGCTTTGCTAGGCTATCGTACACAAACAAAAACCAAAAAAACACGAAAGAAATACAACCAACGCACAGGAGATACTTCTAGTGTGTGTTTAGATTATATGGTCTAACATGATCTATCAAATGTCCAAAAAACATAAAGGAAGTCTTCGTCCTCTGTTTTTTGATTTTTCGATTAAGTTCGAATACATTGGTGCCACGTCACCAATTAAATCATGAAGTCCCAAGGCTATGGCCCACCAACGTACGGAGACCATCTTCTTAGACACTTCCTCCTTTCATCAACTTTAGTTCTTTACCTTCTCTCTCACCCTTTCTGCACCAAACTCAAATTTCCAAACAGATCGGCCTTTTGATCCCATCATGCTTGATGATCACAGTCCGTCACTGCTAAATCCACTCCAATTACAATCCCAAATGGCGATAAATCTCTTACCATAAGGCCTCAACACAATTGCATACATCTTCATGAAGGTAAGTAAAAGCTACTGATTTTTTATTAACAGATAATTATGTTTAATAAATGTATCTATTATATACATGTGTTTTGTGTATGTTTGCTTTGTAGATTGATATTGGGTGATAAACAGGCTGAGTTTTTGCTTATATGTGTGAAATTATTGTCTCTTCACTTTGGGGCTTTTTGAACAATGTTCATGGTTTCTATTAATGTGGATTTTCCTAGGCTTTCTTTGGGTTATTAAGAAAGTTCTAATACTTGAAGACATAATTGGTTACATTTAGATTTTGGACGAAGAACAAAAATTGTCAATATTATTATTATAGAAGCTTTTTATGCCTTTTGATTATTGAAGTTATTCAACAACACTCATTATTTTTAAGTAATGGTTGTTACCAACTCGAAATATTGGTGTTGTTAATGGTTGTTGGATCCTCAAAGTAAAAGTGTTGTTTATGCACAACAAAGCATAGCAAACAATTTGTAAATTGTAAGAAAAATGCTAGTTAAACCTATTTCTTAAGCCGAGGAATGTAGATAGGGTCCGATGTTTGATCTCATCCACTTCATCAAATGGACAAAAATCCTTTTGGGTACACTTGGTTTTAAGAGTAAATGTAAAGAATCAGGTATACTAAATCAATCAAAATGCACATTTCAAGTTGGCTGTTGACAGTTTTTATATGATGGTGGAACTAATTTTCTTGAATGGTGTATTGTGATTGGTTGATAGCATTACTCAATTTGTAATTGAGAGGATGGATCCTCTTTCAATGGATGGTGAGAGTAGTTTTGAATAGATGCTTCTAGACTTCGTGTTTTTGGATCATATGGACTAACTTGGTCTATCAAAAGTCCAAAAAACATAAAGGAAGTCATCGTCCTCTGTTTTATTTTATTTATCCATTAAGTTCGAATACATTGGTGCCACGTCGCCAATTAACATCATGAAGTCCCAAGGCTAAGGCCCACCAACGTACGGGGACCATCTTCTTGGACACTTCCTTTCATCAACCTTAATTATTTACCTTCTCTCTCACCCTTTCTGCCCCATTACACTGCATCACTGCTTAATCACAATCCCAGATGGTAATCAATCTCTTATCTTTATGAAGGTAGACGCTACTGATCTTTTTATTAACAGACGATTACTATGTTTTATAAATGTATCTCTGTATATATATGTGTATGTATATATATGAAATTATGATTCCATATATACAAGTGTTTGTGTGTGTTCTCTTTGTAGATCGATATCTGGTTGTTGCCTATTCGAAATATTGGTGGTGCTAATGGTTGTTGGATCCTCAAGGTAAAAGTGTTGCTTATGCACAACAAAGCATAGCACACAATTTGTAAATTGTAAGAAAAATGCTAGTTAAACCCACTTCTTAAGCCCAGGAGTGTAGATAGGGCCCAATGTTTAATCTTATCCACATTATCAAATGGACGAAAACCCCTTTGGGTACACTTGGTTTAGGAGTAAAGGTAAAGAACCTAAGTATGTTAAATCAATCAAAATGCACATTTCAAGTTGGCTGTTGACAGTTTTTATATGATGGTGGGACCAATTTTCTTGAATGGTGTATTGTGATTGGTTGACGTTGGCAAACCGTGAGAGGATGGATCCTCTTTCAATGGAAGGTGAGAGTAGTTTTAAAGAGTACCAATAACTCGCATTTTTGGAATGTGTTGAATTGGAATTCTTCAAACTTGGTTTCTCAATAAGCCTCGGATAGGTCACTGATTACACACAATCAATGCCCTTAATTATGCAAGTAGAATCAGTAGATGGAAACAAACATCCAGTTTAAATTTTGAAGTCAAAATAGCAATATCTTATTGGGAAATTGCAAGAACTATTCAATCTCTATCCTTTCCAACAAAATATGTACTACTGTAGAATTAAATTTCAGTGAATTGTCCATAAACATCACCACTTTGTACTCTCGTAACAGGACCCTTGAAGGTAGAGGAGGATCAAGGAGGGTTCAATGGGTCAAGTTCTCTCTTACATTATTCAATGCATATGTGGTGAAGCAGAGGATGATGATTTGGAAAGGCAAAGTCATAATCTGCTACTTCCAACCACACAAAATGAATCAAGAACTAGCTCAGCTGGTGCATTACTACAAACCCCACTTAGTTCATCATCAAGCTCATACTCATGCAGTGACTTGAGCACAACTGGTTCATCAGTTCATCTATCTAGTTTGGACTTACATGGGGTCTCAAATACAAGCTCTTCTGCATTGCATCATATTGCACTGGGTTGTCACCAATGCCTGAACTCAAATACGGACTCGAGCACAACTAGTGCATTGCATCAGATCTCACACGGCGAATTGGGCACAGCTTGTGCTTTGCAGCAAGAAATACATAGTCAATGCATATGCGCTGAAGCAGAGGATGATGATTTGGAAAGGCTAAGTCATAATCTGCTACTTCCAACCACACAAAATGAATCAAGAACTAGCTCAGCTGGTGCATTACTACAAATCCCACTTAGTTCATCATCAAGCTCATACTCATGCAGTGACTTGAGCACAACTGGTTCATCAGTTCATCTATCTAGTTTGGACTTACATGGAGTCTCAAATACAAGCTCTTCTGCATTGCATCATATTGCACTGGGTTTTCACCAATGCTTGAACTCAAATATGGACTCGAGCACAACTAGTGCATTGCATCAGAACTCACATGGCGACTTGGGCACAGCTTGTGCCTTGCAGCAAGAAATACTTATTTCTTCAGAAAGCTTGGAGTCACTAGGTGACTCAAGTACTAGTAGCCCATTAGAAGTACCTATGGTTTTATATTCAAGCACAGACATACTCAGCAATTCACGTACTTATGTTCCAACATTAGATCCACATTTCGGTGTTGATTTAAACATTGAAGTTGTAGAAAAAAAGAGACAAGCTATTCCAGTTCTCTCACATGTAAACTCAATTGAGCCAAGTGGAAAGGAAAGAGAAAGGGAAAGAGAAAGAGAGAGGAAAGAAGAGAAGGTAAGTAAGGGAGTGGTGATAAAGGAGAGATGGATAAAACATTATAGTAGTCATCAAAAAATTCTATTAGTGGGTGAAGGGGACTTCTCATTCTCTGCTTGTTTGGCTGTGGCTTTTGGTTCTGCCAACAACATGATAGCAACTTCACTTAATTCTCAAGGTAAGAAACATGCATCAATTCTGTGTTGTAATGGAATCTCAAGCATGCCTTTTCCTTTAAATTGGTTATCATACATATTGAAAAATAGTGACTCTTTCATATTTTTGTAACTCATTACTCATTGACTTCATACATCATACTGTTATGTTATACATGAGATGGACTTTGCAGGGTTTTTGAGAAAAAATTATAGGAAAGCGAGTTCCAACATCGAAAAATTAAGGAGTAGAGGCTGTAAGGTCACGCATGGTGTGGATGCCACTGAAATGGCTAAACATTTGTTATTCGAGAGCATGGAATTCGATCGCATTATTTACAATTTCCCGCATGCTGGCTTTCTTAAACATGAATCACGCAAGTCAGAGCTTCGGTTAGTGAACTTCTGCAACAAATGGCTTTCACGAATCTATATATTTATGTAAAAATTATTTCCAATACATTTTTTTTTTTCTTTTCTGCAGACGACACAGAAAACTAGTACGCAATTTTCTAGCGAATGCCAAGACAATGATCACTGAAAAGGGAGAAATTCATATTTCCCACAAATCAAATGGTTTCTTCTTGGAATGGAATGTAGAATTCCTGGCATCACAGGCAGGCCTTCGAGTTATTGAAGCGGTGGATTTTAATCTGAATGACTATCCAGGCTACTGCACCAAATATGGGTTTGGAGGTGACAGAGATTTCAACTGCGACCCCAGCAAAACTTACAAATTTGGGCTTAGAAAAAAAAAAAATAAAAAAATAACAGTATACTAGTACTAATGCTGTAAATTTCACTTATTGCATTGTTTGTTATTTTGAGACTTTTTGTGCTTGCAGGGTGCTAGCTATACAGTTACCAAATGATGTTATCTGAAAAATATTTTGTTGTAATCAACTTTTATTGTGTGTATACTGCTATGATGAATGTAAAGGTTTGTGTTTAAAATTTTGGAGAGAGGAGTCCAGATTGTATGAATTCTCTAACGTTTTCCTCATCGTTTGCCAGCCCAGTCTGATGAGTAAATGTGCTTGCTCTTCTACTCCCTCCTGACTTGTTGACCTTTGTTCTCGTCATTTTATTAAATGAAATCTCTCTTTGGTATCTGAAAAATAAAATAAAAAGTCTACACATTCATGCAATCAAATTGCACATATAATTGAAGAATACCGGGCCAGGTGGAGGAGGATAAAACAAGTCAAACCAGAGTTGGAGTGGTTATATCAATTGGGCTACTCAACTTTGCCGAAGAACAATAATATACAATTGTAATATTTCAAAAGATCGCTGGACAAATTATATGAAATATGGATGAAGTGCAAAAAACACTTAAATTATACTTTTCGTAACATTTTTATCCTTATTTAAAAAGAAGTGCAAAAAAATACTTGTATTCTTTGCACATTGTGCAAAAATAACTCTAAATAAAAAATTTGACATAAATTAATGCTATAATATCCATTTTGCCCCTTTACACCTCCAAAAATGACCATACCGAATTTCCCTTTTTTTCTCTCTTGAATTTCCTACTCGTCTTGGGATCTCCTCTCCTCATCCCGCACCTTCTCACCAGCAAACCTTCCCATGGCCTTCTTACAGTCGTACGATGTATATATACACATATAAAACACACTCACTACACACACATATATATGTACATATGGTTTTCTAGGTTTAAATTAAATTTTCTGGGACACCCACGAGTCGACTGAGGATGGGGCGAAGTACGCGAAGCCATTGCCCACGCTGTCCCCTCCGAGGCTGAGAGCTACTTTGACATTGGAATGCTTACTCTTGATGGAAGAGACTTGGGAGGGGCTGAGATCATCGGAGTCCCAAAACACGTTCAACTCCCCGTTGGTGGGGGAGGCTGAAGAGGAGGTGGTGCAGTCTATGGCAAAGGAGAGAATGAAGTGGAATTCAACATTTGTGTTAATTGGGACATATGTGAATTTGACATTGTTGAACTCGGCTCCAATGGATTCGCGGAAGAGGTTTGATGGGGCGGCTTTGATCGATAGAGGGCAGAGAACAAGAGCTTGAATAATGAAAAGGGTGAGGAAGAGATGAGGGAATGCCATTGCAATGTGATTGAAGAATGTGTTTGTATTGTGTGTTGTAGGTTATGAGAGAAATGGTGACACTTTGATCAAATTTATATAACTGTGATGGGCACAAAGGTGAGCTATAAGGTAAGAGAAACAGACAATTTAATTTGGTTATTTGCCGTTCATGGAGTTTGTTTTTGCTTCCTCAAATTAGATATAGATATCAGACATGATGTTAGACTTTTTGGCACTCTAAGGAAGATTATTGTGGCCACAATTATTCGTTCTACTATATTGAACCTGAAGCCCAAGAAACCGAACTGGCTTTCGCAGAGGTGGGCCGTCGCCGGAGCTTGGCCAAACTTGAGCTCTCCGTTGGTCAATCGAACTGCTTCGTCTTTCAAGATTACCGGACTTCCAAACAAACTCTCGCCAGAACTGGATCAGTTCAGTCATGTCGTTCGTCGTTGCCGATATATTCAGTCCGTGCTCACCCTTGAATCCTTTCTCGTTGTTCCTCTTACAGCCACTGGAACTATTTGGTGTAATTTTGGATTTCGTTGCTGAAAAGTTTGCGGGTATGTCGAAGCTCGATGAAACTGTTCCTAGATTTTCTCTCGCCAGCTTCAATGGAGGTTTTCAGGTGACCGATAGTTTGGGATTTTTTTTTTTTGAAGATGGGTGGGTACCCTTTTAGTCATTTCGTATCATTTTATTTTATTTATATATTTTATAAAATATGTAACTAAGGACATTTTAGTATAATTTTTTTTTAAATGGTTAAGAAAGATTTATTTATACAAATATTATAATTTTGGGATATTTTTTTACAATACAATAAGCCTATAAACATAATTCAAGATTTTATTTTATTTTATTTTATTTTTTTTTTTTGCACTTCAGCCGACCATTCATTTCCTTGGTTGTAAATTTTACTAGGTTGTCTGTACCTTCAACGACTATCTATCTGTATATTTTAAAATTTTCTTATTAAAATTAAAAATTTTAGTGTGTGCATAGATGCTTCTAGACATCTAGTGGTGTGAGTGGATCATATGGTTTAACATGGTCTATCAAAAGGTCCGAAAAACATAAAGGAAGTCTTCGTCTTTGTTTTTTGATTAAGTTCGAATACATTGGTGCCACGTCGCCAATTAACATCACGAAGTCCCAAGGCTATGGCCCACCAACGTACGGAGACCATCTTATTGGACAACTTTAATTCTTTACACTTCTCAAAAAAAAAAAAAAAAAGAACTTTAGTTCTTTACCTTCTCTCTCACCCTTTCTGCACCAAACTCAAATGTCCAAACAGATTGGCCTTTTTATCTCAACATGCTTGATGATCACAGTCCGTCACTGCTAAATCCACTCCAATTACAATCCCAAATGGCAATCAATCTCTTACTATAAGGCCTCAACACAACTGCATACATCTTCATGAAGGTAAGTAAAAGCTACTGATTTTTTATTAACAGATAATTATGTTTAATAAATGTATCTATACACATATGAATACATACATGTGTTTGTGTATGTTTTTCTTTGTAGATTGTTATTGGGTGATAAACAGGCAGAGTTTCTGCTTATATGTGTGAAATTATTGTCTCTTCACTTTGGGGCTTTTTGAACAATGTTCATGGTTTCTATTAATGTAGATTTTCCTAGGCTTTTTTTGGGTTATTAAGAAAGTTCTAATACTTGAAGACTTGGTTACATTTAGATTTTGGACGAAGAACAAAAATTGTCAATATTATTATTATAGAAGCTTTTTATGCCTTTTGATTATTGAAGTTATTCAACAACACTCATTATTTTTAAGTAATGGTTGTTGCCAACTCGAAATATTGGCGTTGTTAATGTTTGTTGGATCCTCAAAGTAAAAGTGTTGCTTATGCACAACAAAGCATAGCACACAATTTGTAAATTGTAAGAAAAATGCTGGTTAAACCTATTTCCTAAGCTGAGGAGTGTAGAGGGCCCGGTGTTTGATCTTATCCACTTCATCAAATGGACAAAAACCCCTTCGGGTACACTTGGTTTTAGGAGTAAATGTAAAGAACCCTAGGTATGCTAAATCAATCAAAATGCACATTTCAAGTGTGCTGTTGACAGTTTTTATATGATGATGGGACCAATTTTCTTGAATGGTGCATTGTGATTGGTTGACGTTGGTCTAAATAGCATTACTCAATTTGTAATTGAGAGGATGGATCCTCTTTCAATGGATGGTGAGAGTAGTTTTGAAGATTACCAAGAACTTGCATTTTCGGAATGTGCTGGAATTCTTCAAACTTGGTTTCTCAATAAGCCTCGGATAGGTCACTGATTACCCACAATCAATGCCCTTAATTATGGCAAGTAGAATCAGTAGATAGAAACAAACATCCAGTTTAAATTTCGAAGTCAAAATAGCAGTATCTTAATGATAAAGCTCACATGTTATTGGGAAATTGCAAGAACTATTCAATCTCTATCCTTTCCAACGAAATATGTACTACTGTACAATTAAATGTCAGTGGATTGTCCATAAACATCACCACTTTGTACTCTCGTAACAGGACCCTTGAAGGTAGAGGAGGATCAAGGAGGGTTCAATGGGTCAAGTTCTCTCTAACATTATTCAATGCATATGTGGTGAAGCAGAGGATGATGATTTGGAAAGGCAAAGTCATAATCTGCTACTTCCAACCACACAAAATGAATCAAGAACTAGCTCAGCTGGTGCATTACTACAAACCCCAGTTAGTTCATCATCAAGCTCATACTCATGCAGTGACTTGAGCACAACTGGTTCATCAGTTCATCTATCTAGTTTGGACTTACATGGGGTCTCAAATACAAGCTCTTCTGCATTGCATCATATTGCACTGGGTTTTCACCAATGCTTGAACTCAAATACAGACTCGAGCATAACTAGTGCATTGCATCAGAACTCACACGGTGAATTGGGCACAGCTTGTGCTTTGCAGCAAGAAATACATGGTCAATGCATATGTGGTGAAGCAGAGGATGATGATTTGGAATGGCTAAGTCATAATCTGCTACTTCCAACCACACAAAATGAATCAAGAACTAGCTCAGCTGGTGCATTACTACAAACCCCACTTGGTTCATCATCAAGCTCATACTCATGCGGTGACTTGAGCACAACTAGTTCATCAGTTCATCTATCTAGTTTGGACTTACATGGAGTCTCAAATACAAGCTCTTCTGCATTGCATCATATCGCACTGGGTTTTCACCAATGCTTGAACTCAAATACGGACTCGAGCACAACTAGTGCATTGCATCAGAACTCACAGGGCGACTTGGGCACAGCTTGTGCTTTGCAGCAAGAAATACTGATTTCTTCAGAAAGCTTGGAGGCACTAGGTGACTCAAGTACTAGTAGCCCATTAGAAGAAGTACCTATGGTTTTATATTCAACCACAGACATACTCAGCAATTCACAAACTTATGTTCCAACATTAGATCCACCTTTTGGAGTTGATTTACACATTGAAGTTGTAGAAAAAAAGAGACAATCTGTTCCACCTCTCTCACTTGTAAACTCAATAGAGCCAAGCGGAAAGGAAAGAGAAAGGGAAAGAGAAAGAGAGAGAAAGGAAGAGAAGGTAAGTAAGGGAGTGGTGATAAAGGAGAGATGGATAAAACATTATAGTAGTCATCAAAAAATTCTACTAGTGGGTGAAGGGGACTTCTCATTCTCTGCTTGTTTGGCTGTGGCTTTTGGTTCTGCGAACAACACGATAGCAACTTCTCTTAATTCTCAAGGTAAGAAACATGCATCAATTCTGTGTTGTAATGGAATCTCAAGCATGCGTTTTCCTTTAAATTGACTATCATGCATATGGAAAAATCATACTGTTATGTTATACATGAGATTGAGTTTTGCAGGGTATTTGAGGAAAAATTATAGGAAAGCGAAGTCCAACATCAAAAAATTAAGGAGTAGAGGGTGTAAGGTCATGCATGGTGTGGATGCCACTGAAATGGCTAACCATATGTTACTAGAGGGCATGGAATTCGATCGCATTATTTTCAATTTTCCTCATGCTGGCTTTCCTGAAAATGAATCACGCAACTCAGCGCTTCGGTTAGTAAACTTCTGCAACAAATGGCTTCCACGAATCTCTATATATATTTATGTAAAATTTAATTCCCACGGAATATTTTTCATTCTGCAGGCGAAACAGAAAATTAGTACGCCAGTTTCTAGCGAATGCCAAGAAAATGATCGCTGAAAAGGGTGAAATTCATATTTCCCACAAATCGTATGGTTTCTTCTTGGAATGGAATGTAGAATTTCTAGCATCACAGGCAGGCCTTCGACTTCTTGAAGAGGCGCAGTTTAACCTCAATGACTATCCAGGCTATAACACCAAATACGGGTTTAGGGGTGACAAAAATTTCAACTGCAACAACAGCAAAACTTATAAATTCGGGCTTTAAACACAACAAAAAATACAGTCTAATAGGATGTAAACTTCACTTATTGCACTCTACTGTTATTGACGCTTCTTGTGCTGGCCAGGGAACTAGCTGTGCCGTTACCAAATGATGTTTTCTGAAAATATTTTGCTCTAATGTACATTGTGTAGTAAACTGCTAAGAATCTAAAGGTTTGTATAGGAAAGAAGTGCTAAATTTTCGAGACAGGATTGCAGATTGTACATAAGTTCTAACTTTTGTCAATTTCCGGGGGAAAAAAAAAAAAAAAATCAAAAGTTTGATTATTTTCCCGGCTAAAATGCATAGTGACATTTTGATGAAGTGTGTGTTACAAACAATCATGTTAAGAAAACAATTTTAGTACCCAAGTGTTTTCCAAAGTTTAACAGGATTTCAGGAGCCATGGCAGATTGCCCTATTGCACTTGGCTAATTGGTTTCAAGAGGACTCGAAATACATTTGTATATGAAACTACACCTCCATATTAATATAAACATAGAAGGGAAAAAAGAAATTCAATAATTCTGCATCAATGTCTCCTTAACAAAAAACTGTAAAATTAAAGATTTTGTTTTTTTCTGCTTGAGCTTTGCATAATCTCAAGTACTTTTATCATTCCAGATGAGAAAGATTGAAGAAAGAAAAAGCACATCCTAAAATAATTAACCGACACAATGCACAAATATTAATTAAAAAAAAATTCAACTTGATTCCGCAACCCATACTTTCCTTATCAACCTTATATTTTCCATCATTTGATTCAATAAATCACTTAACAAAAACTACATCAGCAACCTTCAACCACGTGCAAAGATCACCAAGTGGGCCCGCCACTATCTCACGATTTCCTTTATTTCTTCCCTAAAATTCGGCTGCCATCAGTCCTAATTTCCTTCTTATCACATCATTCAGCCAACCTGCTCCCTTCCTTCATCCCATCATATTACATTATATATTATATATATATATATATAAGTAACAAAATTAATGAACCCATCAAATCACCTAACATCATCACCAACTTTCCTTTCAACTTTTCTATTTTTCTCTTTTCCGACGGCTGGCCCCCTTCATGCTTCAACAGATACAATATATATATATATATATATATATATTTAAATATATAAAGTAACAAAAACAAAGCCCTAAAAAACAAAAATCTCATGAGACCCACGATACCATCATCACAATCACATTTCCACTCTCCTTCTCTTCGAGCAGGTGCTCCCCACTTCCCTCAGGTTATATATATAAAAAAAAAGATGAAACAAAAAAAATTAATTCAAAGTTCACCCCCATTTCCATTTCATTCCCTCCTTTTACCAAACAACACGTACACCAAAAAAAATATAAACTATATAAATATAACCATAACTACTACACCAAACTCAAACAAATAAAATTATAAATTATAAATTTAAATTTTTAAAAAAATGGGGTTATCACAGTATGAATGGTCTGTGACTGTCAGTAAATGGGTTTGCTCTTCTATTCCCTCCTGACTTGTTGACCTTTGTTCCCCTGATTTTATTAAATGAAATCTCTCTTTGGTATCTGAAAAAATGAAATAAAAAGTCTATACATTCATGCAATCAAATTGCACATACAATTGAAGAACAAATAATATATATGCGTAGTATATATTAACCGGCAAGGAGGAGGAGGAGGATGGAACAAGTCAAACCAGAGCTGGAGTGGCTCTACCAATTGGGCTACTCAAACTTAGCCGAAAAATAATAATATACAATTGTAATATTTCAAGAGATCACTGGACAAATCACATGAAATATGTGAAAATAAAGACCATTCCCTTGGTAGAAAATTTTGATTGGATCAATCTTAATCCCTAATTAATAAAGATAAAAGTAAAATTACTGTTGCCGAAACTGAATTTTACTTCATTGTCTTAACCTTCTACAACTATGTATTCGTATATTTTAAAATTTTCTTATTAAAATTAAAAAATTTATTGTCCGTTCGACAATTACAGTTGCTTTGTGTTTTTGTTTTGACTCGAAAAAAAAGCAATATTTTTACTTTAGAGTGTGTTCCACATTATTAAGAAGTTTTTTTGGTAACGTCAATCTGTTACAAGATTTTTAAAAACAAAAACACGAAAGCATGTTTGATAAAAGTGTTGTAAGTTTTAAAATTTGAATGGTTAATTAAAAATGTTATTTTAGAATTTTTTTTATGAGCAGTGCTTTGTTATGGTGCTAAAACAAATAAAAATATCATTTTGATGCTTCTATTTTTGGCTTCAATTTTGGATGCGCTTCAATATTATTAAAAAATATAGTAAATATTACTTAAACATGCTTCGTGTGCTTATGTTACACTAACAAAAGCAAAAAATACACTAAACAAAAACACTAGCCAATGCACAGGAGATACTTCTAGACTTCTAGTGGTGTGTTTGGATCATATGGTCTAACATGATCTATCAAAAGTCCAAAAAACATAAGGAAGTCTTCGTCCTCTGTTTTTTTATCTTTCGACTAAGTTCGAATACATGGTGCCACGTCACCAATTAACATCATGAAGTCCCAAGGCTGTGGCCCACCAACGTACGGAGACCATCTACTTGGACACTTTCCCCTTTCATCAACTTTAATTCTTTACCTTCTCTCCACCCTTACTGCACCAAACTCAAATGTCCAAACAGATTGGCCTTTTGATCGCATCATGCTTGATCGTCACAGTCCGTCCCTGCTAAATCCACTCCAACTACAATCCCAAATGGCAATCAATCTCTTACCGTAAGGCCTCAACACAACTGCATACATCTTCATGAAGGTAAGTAAAAGCTACTGATTTTTTATTAACAGATAATTATGTTTAATAAATGTATCTATTATATACATGTGTTTTGTGTATGTTTGCTTTGTAGATTGATATTGGGTGATAAACAGGCAGAGTTTTTGCTTATATGTGTGAAATTATTGTCTCTTCACTTTGGGGCTTTTTGAACATTGTTCAGGTTTCTATTAATGTAGATTTTCCTAGGCTTTCCTTGGGTTATTAAGAAAGTTCTAATACTTGAAGACTTGGTTACATTGAGATTTTGGACGAAGAACAAAAATTGTCAATATTATTATTATTGAAGCTTTTTATGCCTTTTTATTATTGAAGTTAGTTTTGAAGTAATGGTTGTTACCAACTCGAAATATTGGTGTTGTTAATGGTTGTTGGATCCTCAAAGTAAAAGTGTTGCTTATGCACAACAAAGCATAGCGCTCACAATTTGTAAATTATTAGTTAAACCTATTTCCTAAGTTGAGGAGTGTAGCCGAATGGTTTTTATCCATTTAACGAAGTGGATAGGGCCAAGTGTTTGATCTTATCCACTTCATCAAATGGACAAAAACCCCTTTGGGTACACTTGGTTTTAGGAGTAAATGTAAAGAGCCCTAGGTATGCTAAATCAATCAAAATGCACATTTAAATTGGCTGTTGATAGTTTTTATATGATGGCGTGACCAATTTTCTTGAATGGTGCATTGTGATTGGTTGACGTTGGCGCACCGTCTAAATAGCAATACTCAATTTGTAATTGAGAGGATTGATCCTTTTTCAATGGATGGTGAGAGTAGTTATGAAGAGTACCAAGAACTTGCGTTTTTGGAACGTGTGTTGAATTGGAATTCTTCAAACTTGTGTTCTCAATAAGCCTCGGATAGGTCACTGGTTACACACAATCAATGCCCTTAATTTAATTATGCAAGTAGAATCAGTAGATAGAAACAAACATCCAGTTTAAATTTTGAAGTCAAAATAGCAATATCTTAATGATAAAGCTCACATCTTATTGGGAAATTGCAAGAACTATTCAATCTCTATCCTTTCCAACAAAATATGTACTACTGTAGAATTAAATTTCAGTGAATTGTCCATAAACATCACCACTTTGTACTCTCGTAACAGGACCCTTGAAGGTAGAGGAGGATCAAGGAGGGTTCAATGGGTCAAGTTCTCTCTTACATTATTCAATGCATATGTGGTGAAGCAGAGGATGATGATTTGGAAAGGCAAAGTGATCATAATCTGCTACTTCCAACCACACAAAATGAATCAAGAACTAGCTCAGCTGGTGCATTACTACAAACCCCACTTAGTTCATCATCAAGCTCATACTCATGCAGTGACTTGAGCACAACTGGTTCATCAGTTCATCTATCTAGTTTGGACTTACATGGGGTCTCAAATACAAGCTCTTCTGCATTGCATCATATTGCACTGGGTTGTCACCAATGCCTGAACTCAAATACGGACTCGAGCACAACTAGTGCATTGCATCAGATCTCACACGGCGAATTGGGCACAGCTTGTGCTTTGCAGCAAGAAATACATAGTCAATGCATATGCGCTGAAGCAGAGGATGATGATTTGGAAAGGCTAAGTCATAATCTGCTACTTCCAACCACACAAAATGAATCAAGAACTAGCTCAGCTGGTGCATTACTACAAATCCCACTTAGTTCATCATCAAGCTCATACTCATGCAGTGACTTGAGCACAACTGGTTCATCAGTTCATCTATCTAGTTTGGACTTACATGGAGTCTCAAATACAAGCTCTTCTGCATTGCATCATATTGCACTGGGTTTTCACCAATGCTTGAACTCAAATATGGACTCGAGCACAACTAGTGCATTGCATCAGAACTCACATGGCGACTTGGGCACAGCTTGTGCCTTGCAGCAAGAAATACTTATTTCTTCAGAAAGCTTGGAGTCACTAGGTGACTCAAGTACTAGTAGCCCATTAGAAGTACCTATGGTTTTATATTCAAGCACAGACATACTCAGCAATTCACGTACTTATGTTCCAACATTAGATCCACATTTCGGTGTTGATTTAAACATTGAAGTTGTAGAAAAAAAGAGACAAGCTATTCCAGTTCTCTCACATGTAAACTCAATTGAGCCAAGTGGAAAGGAAAGAGAAAGGGAAAGAGAAAGAGAGAGGAAAGAAGAGAAGGTAAGTAAGGGAGTGGTGATAAAGGAGAGATGGATAAAACATTATAGTAGTCATCAAAAAATTCTATTAGTGGGTGAAGGGGACTTCTCATTCTCTGCTTGTTTGGCTGTGGCTTTTGGTTCTGCCAACAACATGATAGCAACTTCTCTTAATTCTCAAGGTAAGAAACATGCATCAATTCTGTGTTGTAATGGAATCTCAAGCACGCCTTTATCTTTAAATTGAC